GGCCAGGAATTAGGAACTAAACCCTCTTCTTGTATGATGTTGCACTATAAAGTGTGCAGTATGAATATCTTTCTCTCTAGTACGTGTAAATGTATGATAACAACTCAGCATTGTATTCTTTTTGGAAAACAAAAGCAATTAGAACTTCTTGAGTGCATAGCTCTTAATGGCTAGTTTAAGGAAGTTCACCACTTCTGAACACTTACTCTGCTATGTAGTAATGAAAGCATTATCTTAAATTTTTCTTAAACGTATTCGGACTTCTAAATGCCTTCTTTAGTTTCTTAACATTCTCTGCTTTTGCAACAAAAGAACAAATTGGCTTTTTCTGTTGTTAGTTTCCTACAGCCTTTGAATTCAATGAACAGTTGCTGATTACAATCCTGGATCACTTGTACAGCTGCCGGTTTGGGACTTTCTTGTACAACAGTGAGTCTGTTAGAGAAAAAGAGGTCAGTCATACCACTGATTGTTTCATTGTATTGCTGCATTGTCTCTAGATGATGACAAAAATGCTGACTGTATTTTATTATATTCCTTGTATGTTAGTGTTCTTGGCCTTTTTCTCATTGCAGAATAGTTGCATGGTAAATGCCTTGGTTTTGGTAGCTCAAAGGCTATGCTGTCACTGTAATACTTGTGAAAAACTTTTTTTGTATTAGAAATATTCTTAACTTACCGTGCTTCTAAGTACATCATAAATGTTATTCTTAGACTGTAACTATTGGCTTCTTTGGTTTTCCTGATTCTGTGCAAATGTTTACAATTCTTATTTCAATTTCTTTTCAGAAAGTGACTGAGAAAACATTATCATTATGGTCTTTGATAAATAGTGAAAAATCTAAATACACCAATCCTTTTTATAGTAAAGAGCTAAATCGAGCTCTCTATCCAGTAGCCAGTATGCGTCACCTCGAGCTCTGGGTCAATTACTACATCAGATGGAACCCAAGGATCCGGCAACAAGTAAGTAAATTGTCTAGAACATACAAACTGTTTGAAGCCTCTGGAAGTAGATTTTTGTGCTAAAACTGAAACGTAGAATAGTATCTGTAATCTGCTCTTCTTTTTTTCTAACATGCTTTTGTAAGGATGGGAGGAGGAAAAAAGATGAAAATGCTAATTTATGTGGTGGGATTTTTTGTTGTTCTTTTAATCATCCAACTTGTCTCAGAACATTGAGCTGATTTCACTGCTTAGTATCAAGTCATCTTCAAATTCTTCCTGTCCCCTTTCCTTGGGAGTACATTCTTAATGGTATTAGATGTTATGGAGGGTGGATGACAAGACTTAGGGCTTACTGAACCTTGAGGATTAGAAGTGTTGGCATCACAACTATGCCTCGTTGTATTTGCCTGTTCTTTCTCCCTTTTCTGGCAGAGCATGCAGAGCCTTTTACAAAGTAAGATGACCTTTTCAGTTAGTCTTCTAAAACTGCTGTCTGTATTAATGGCTTCATGATAAGTTTTGGTTTGTTTTGTTTTTTGCTAAAACTTTCACCCAACATCATTTACACTGTGTAAACACAGGAGAAAAACTATTATTGATAATTTTACAAGTAAATCAGATTAGGAACACTTTTATCAACTTATGTATGTTTGTTCTTGATATATGAATGCTCAATTTTTGTTACAATCTTGCTAAAAATCTAGGCAATGTGGCATGTAAAGATAGCATACAGAGACTTAGTTGTCTTGCTCAACAAGCTGCGTAGTTTTGAGTAGGAGAAGACAGAAGAGCAATTTCTTGGACAGAAGCAGTGTTCATGATCAAGATCCTGGAATGAATCAGGAGTTTTCAAGCAATGCAGTTCCTCTTCTGCAGCTGATCTATATTATTTACAGCACTCCAGAGGCTGTAAGAGAGCCAGACAGTATGTTGTATTTTGTTATAAGTATGTTGCTAGTTTTAATTTCAAGTTCATTTAAAGCTTCTGTTGCTTGCTGTGGAGGATGAAGGCATTTTGAAAAAAGTAAATCCAGAGATTAAATTTAGAACGTGAAGAATTATGGGGCATGCAAATTAGCTGTAAATCTACTTTGAAATTCTTAGCCTTTATTCAGGAATGGCTTTTGGAAGTAGTTTCCTACTAGAACTGCAGACCTATATGATATAGTAATCTATGTTTCTCCTAGTGGTCCCTCACTTTCACCATATTTAAGTACAGAACACAACAGTTCTCTTAAAGTACAGAACAGTTGTTCTCTTGCACGTGAAACTTATGCTTCATGTTAAGTATCTGAGTAATGAATGCGTGGCATAAGCCAGTTTTTTGAGCTGACCTTGTTAGTGCTGTGACATAGAAGCATGCTGGGGGCATCAGACTTGTGTCTACTGAAGAGCCTGGTCTGTCACAAGCAGCATCATTAATCCTACATCTCTCATCCTGCTACTAACTAGATGCAGTCATTGATCATACTTCCACATCTGCTTCAGTATTTATAACCTCCCCTATCTGGGGTGCTTTGGGAATGCTGTCTGATACTCAATGATTCAGCTGATTTTGAACTGGTAGTACACTTAAATTTGCTTCTGCAACTTTCTTGTTAATAACTCTGAGAGGTTAATTGAGAAACAGTTGCAGCTTCTTCACTGGTAGAACAAAGTGAGCTCAGGCTCTGTATCTGCTTTGGGCATCTGTGCGAAATAAGCTAAGCTTAAAATAGGTATTGTTAAGGTTCTTTGGCTCTGAGTAGTCTGGTTTGCTCTGAGAAGTCACAAAGTTGTGCGTTTATTTTTTTTCATTTACACACAGTTGCAAAGTTACTATTTAAGCACTGAAGTAAACTTTAACAGTAAGGGTAATTACTTAAACCGAAGATTTCATCTTCATCTGGTCAGCAGAGCCAAAGATCTTCAGTCTGGCTAACCTTTTTTTTTTTTTTAGGGAAGACAAAACATTTAAACTCTGCAATCTAAAACCTTTTAAGTCAAGAAGGGAAAAGCTGTGGAGAAGACAATCATGTCCGTACAAACACACTATGTTAGATAGTAATTTCTGGGAAATTTCTGACCGATTTTTATTGAGGAAGAGCTATTTTGTAAAGCAGGATTTTTCTTTGGATGAAAACAGTTTGAACCCAGAGGGCTCTTGCATTATAGAAATAAATATATAAAAATAATAAATTTTTATTATATAAAAATAATATTATATTAAAATATATTTAAAAAATAATCCAAGAAAAGACAAATGTTACGGCATCTTGTGTAGATGTACTTGGACTACAGTGATAAAGGACTAATACAGATTTCTTTCTAGCAGCCAAATCCAGTGGAGCAGCGTTACATGGAGCTCCTTGCATTGCGAGATGATTATATGAGGAGACTTGAAGAACTACAGATCACAAATAACTCTAAGATATCCAACTCATCAGCCTCATCAACGTCTCCCTCACAAATGATGTCCCAAGTACAAACACACTTTTGAAGAAAACGCTGGCTTCTTTCTATATCATAATAGCAAGTGGTGCTTAACATAGATCTAGAGTATGAAGAAGAATATTTTAATGCCTTACGTTAGATTGTCCTAACACAAAGTATTTTAGACTGTCTTCATTTGAGGAGGACTTCAGAACAAAACCAACTCTTCCATTATGTGCCTTTTGGAACCTGTAAACTGGGAACATGAATAATCAACTTCTAATTATGGAGTACTTTAGAGTTATTTTGGAAAGTCTGGTACAGTTTGAAATTGATATATTGTTTTCATAAGAATGCTTTAATTTATTACAGTGTAGGTCTGTTCTTCCTGCAAGAGAATTCATGCTCAGTCTTGGATGTTGTGAATAAAACACACAAACATAAAAAGGAATATTCACATTGTGTAGAAGTAGCCATGTGTCTATTCCTGCTAGGAATATGGCTGTGGACTTCATGAGGCAAAAATAAATTATGTGGTAAGATTTCAGAGAGAAGTTAAAAAGTTAAAATGTTCTGGTTATGTGAGAATTCCGGATTTTCTTCCCTCAAAATAAATGAAAAGATGGAAGGATATACTTTTAATTAAACAGTGCAGATAGCCCAGTAGGTATCAAAAGAAATTATTTTTTTTATTGTATTTTTTAACAGATGACAGTTGCACTGGATTCTGAGAGGTCTTGTTCTGGTTAACTGTTGAGCATTGCAGTATATTACAAATTATCACTGTTGGCTTTTTGGATTAATACAGAACAAAATGTTTCCAAATAAGGTTTATATAATTAAAAACAGATCCACAGGGTCATTGCTTAAATATCCAGCATCAGCCATTGTTCTGAAGCTTGAGTACGTCTTAAAAAATAAATGTGCCTGTTCAGAGGAGCTTTTATACCAAAGTAGGCAAAAAAAGAAAATATATCAGTTCTGAATACTGTTGAAAGCTTGTAAATTTATACTTTACTGTTCAGTGTATATTTAACTTGTTTAATGAATTTATTCTTAAATATTTAAAGGACTTCAGTAGATGAGATTTGCAGATAGTGTGTGCACTTACACTGAACCTTCCATTGAGTTCTAGTTTTTGGTCTTCATTTCAGAGGCATTTTGTAAACCTTTAACTTGTTCTTTTCAGGTATTTTTTAATAGTTGCAAACATTTCTTATCACAGACAGACCTTGCTACTTGGTATTTAATTAGGATTTTGCATATTCTCACAAGTTTAATGATATTCAAGCAATCCAGGAAATTCTGCAATTCTGAATTTGTGGAGGACTCTGATACTGTTATTTTAAATGAAATGTTCTGATGCTTGAGGCTTCTGTCACTGTAAATTATTGTACATGCGGTGGGGTTTGATCAGCAGGATATAATAGTATTATATATAAATTAAGTTTTGTGTAAGTATACATAATATAGTTTATTAGAAATTCTGCAAGATTATAATGTGTAAATATTTTGCATATGAAAACTAAGTTTAAAGCGATAATTCCATTAAGTAAGTCAAAATTTAGAGGACATCTGAGTATTTTTAGGAATGGTATTTTTTCAAAGGAATAAAAGTGTACTGCCTCTTGATTTGCTTCAGTGTATACACTGACTTGCACTATTTTTTTTTTTCAGGGAAGCTCAGAGCATATTGCATGTGTGTTCTAAATGCATATGCCTCATTTTTGTCCTCTAAATTTCATTCTCCCTTCCATGTTTTTCACTGTGTTTCCAAAATAACATGAAATGCCATGATCCCAAAGCTTGGCTTGTTGAGATGAACAAGATAAATCTATTTCAGATGAAGGAAGATGCTCGATTGAGATACACTTTTGAAAACTATGCATACTCTGGTATATTTGCCTTTTACTTGTGGTTTATATATGTACATAGATACATATAGATAAAGCTAATTTTATTAGAATATTTAATGTTTCTGTATTTGAGTTGAATATATTGGTGACATCTCTGAGCAGCGCGGAGAAGTTCAAAAAATATAGTTTTACTGTGTAAACACTGCATGATCACCTGTTGTGTGTGGGAAAGTGTGATATAATGGAAAGGATCTTTATGCACTTAGTTCATTATGTATATTCCATTATTCACATTACTGGTTTGGTTGAATGCCATTTTAGAAGCTCTCTAGCATAACTGTATTTGGGCTTGATTTTTTTTTCAAGTCAGCAGATAAGATAGTACTTCTTAACTCTGTTTTGTCATGGTAACACTAATTACACAAACATGAGGATGTTTTTAATCCAATACCTTCTGGAAAATACTACTCCAGAGCTGCTGTGAATGTAAGCTCACAAACGGATCAGCGGTAATAGGAAGCTCCTTTCCATTTAACTGAGTGTTTGGGCTGTCATGCTGCAGAGCGATGCAAGCAGATTCACCTGTGTGTGTTCGGCGGCTGTGCTGCTGGGCTTTGCCCGGCAGTTGGCTGTTACTTCACCTTCCTGCTGCAGCTGTGCGAGCTCAGGGAGCTCCTGAGCAACAGGAGGGGATGGGCAACGACTGCCTGCTGGGGGGAGAGCTGGGCTGCAGAGGTCAGCAGCTACAGCTACCTGCTGTGCTCCGTGAGACTGTGCTCTGTGAACTGCCGCCTTGGTTTTGTTTTATTTTTTGTATCCTTCCTCCCACGGCCCTGCAGCCATCGCCCTGCTGCGTACTGTGAAGTCAGTGCAGAACGCCGTCTTGCTTCGCCGCGTGCCGTATCCATCGCAGCACCACCGTTATCAGTGCGCCTATGGCCGGTTGCCTCCGTTGGAGGCACGTCTCAGCTCTGCCTGCGGCTCGCTTTGCGCGGCGTTTCTCCTTCGCTCTGCCGTTCGCCTCGCGCTTTTGCTCCCAGGCGCCGTCTGCTCTGTACGCGCGCGGAGGAGAACGGAGAGGAAGGCTGCTTTTCCGGCCGCTTCCCCCGGCCCTGCCCGCTCCGCCCGGCGCCGCCTTCCCGCTCCGCGCCGGGCCGCCGCCCGCCCTCGCGGCGCCGCGGAGGCCTATGGGTAAGGCCAGCCGCCGGCTGACAGCTCTCGGCCGGGGCCCGGGCTGAGGCGGCGGGGCCGGGCCGCGCGGGAGGCCGCCATCCCGGCGGCGCGGGGCGTCCCGCCGGCGGCCGGAACCATGGAGCGGGCGGCGGCGGCGGCCGGGCCGGCGGCCGAGAGCGGCGTCGTGAGCCGGCGGGCCGCGCGGGCGGGGGCAGGGGCGGCGGCGGGGGCCGCGTCGCGGCAGGCCAGCAGCGAGACGCTGGACAGGTGAGCGGCGGGCGGGCAGCGGGCTGCGAGCCTCGGCACCGCGGCCTGCCCTGCTCTGCCCTGCGATGCGATGCGATGCGCGGGGCCGCGGCCTCCGGCCCTCCTCCTGCCGCCGAGCCTGGGACCGGGGCTCGGCCGGCGCTTCCAGTCTGCGCCTTTACGCTCATCTCCGCGCTAACGGACGGCCGGTTGTGCCCCGTCCGCGCGCCGGCCCTCCTCAAAGTTTCGTGCCCGCGGCTGCGTGCCGGTCGCGGTTAACGGGGTGGCTGGGGCTGCCTGCGGGATTTTGGCGGGGATCTGGGGAACCTACGGAACTTTTCCTTTGGCAGCCGCTTATTCTGTCGGTTGTCTCACGGTGGGCGGGCAGGCGCAGAGCTCGGCTGAAACGGCCTTACCCGGAACGGGAGTAAACGGAACTCCTCGGGGTGGGGGAGAGGAAAGTTCGGAGTTGTGCCTGGCTTCTGCTTCTGTGTTCCGTCACTTTTCTTTTAGGAGAAATCTCGACGTTCTAGGAAAGCTGGAAATCCTTGCTAAGAAGTCTGTCACTCAAGTACACATCTTTTATTCCTTACTTTCGTGTTTCTTATTTCAGTTTTTTTATCTGTCCAGAGAGGCTGTGGATGCCCCGTCCATCCCTGGAGGTATTCAAGGCCGGGTTGGATGGGGCCCTGGGCAAGCTGGGCTGGTGTTAAATGTGGAGGTTGTTGGCCCTGCGTGTGGCAGGGGGTTGGACATTTGTGATCCTTGAGGTCCCTTCCAACCCGGGCCATTCTGTGATTTTCCTCTCCCCCTTGTTGAGCCCTGGACCAGTCTCAGTGCAGCTGTGGCCGTACCCGATGGGGCACGGTGTGACCTGGCACTGCTCTGCCCACAGCAGGGCGCTGAGTCTCACTGCCGGGCTGTGCCGCACCAGAGCCGGGCACCTGCACACCTCCTCTGCTGGCACGGACATAGCAGGGCCTGCCACAGATCTGCCATTGAGAAATCTTAAGTAACAAGTAAACGCTCCTTTGGAAACAAGCTTAGGCTAACCCTAAAGAGATATAGCAGAAATCAAGAGTTGTGAAGGAAGGTGAAATAAACAAGCTCAGCTACTAAAATTTGTCAGAAAAGTTCTTAAAGATCTTTAATTTCTGGCTACGTGCACCTCTCTATCCTAGCAGATAGTGTGAGGAAAAGCTTCTGGCTGTGCAGGGGTTTGTCATCTTGTGTTGTCATGCCGCCTGCCAAAAATCCCAGTTGAGCTGGGTATGTGTATAGAGTGGTTTGCTTCTGTGTCACACGATGCTCAGAGAATCCAAAGTTAGTTTGTGAATTAATTTAAAAAATGAATTTAAAATTTCAGTGTACGTTTGACTTGGGAACGAGCTTTACATCTGCACAAGTGCCTAGCAAACCTGTGTGGAGGAGTGGCAGTTATCTCCTGTACAAGCTGAGCCTGCGGTGGCATGCAGGTTTCCCAGCCTCCCCGGCTTCCTGTGGGGCAGGCCTGCTTTGGGGCACTGCTGCTGCACCTCTCCATGGCTGGCAGCTGCTCCTTGCTGCTGGCACTCTGAAACTTGTAAGCCACGCTGGTTCCAGCAGCTGCTCTCCAAATGCATCGTCTCAGGTTCAGTGCAGTTCTGCTGTTCAGATGCATTGTCTGTAGGGTTCTTGTAGACATCTGACACTGGTAAAGCCAGTCTTTAACATTATTTGGAGAGTATTATATGAATATATAAAAATGTGGCTAAATTAGAAACTGCCTTTTAGGAAATGTATTCTCTATGTCTGGTATTAGTATAGAGTGCAACACAGCAGTAGTTTGCAATTTTAAATGCTAGCATTGAGTGGTTTAATTTTCAAGAGGATTTACTAAACAATCAGGAAATAGCAATAAAGGTGAGTATGAGGAGTTTCCTGTTAGTTATCCAATTCATTCCATGTATGGCTCTAAGAAATGAATGTTGGAAAAAGAGCTGTACTTGGGTAAGGAAGCAAACATTTTTGTAAGATCTGAGGACCATAAGCATGCTTTTGGCCCACTGACAGCTTTACATCTCTGATAAGATCCAGTAACAATTTACCTCCTTTGTTCACTGAAATAATTGTGTTATGCCCACAAAGAAACCTGATTTGTACTGTTAACACTCATGTATGGCCTTGTTTTGTATTGCTGTGCCTTGCTATTCTCAATATATGTTTTGAATGTGTATGGTAACTGTTGAGTCACAGCCTGAAGCACTGATGGGCACCTGGGGAAAGGACTGGTCAGCCCTGGGAGCACAGGTGAAAGCAAGTCAGCTGTGTGGCAGGAAGGGATGGAGCCTGGCTGCATCTCTCTTAAACCTCATTTAAGGGCTGACCCCCACTGGGGAAGGTTCTTTGGTTGGAGATCCTTCCCTTGTGGAGTCTCTCCTGTGAGCCTAGATCTTCAGAGATGGGTGAGCACTTTTCCTTTGTAGCACCATTTTATCTGCCCCGCTCCCTTCTGCTCTTGTATTGCCTTTCCACTGTGCTGATCTTTTTGACTGTAACAGAATAGTTGTTAAACAACATTAATATTCTGTTTCTGTAGCCCTACGGGATCACACGTTGAATGGTGCAAACAGCTGATAGCTGCAACCATTTCCAGTCAGATCTCTGGGTCTGTCCCTTCAGAAGGTGTGTCCAGAGACTACCGGGTAAGTGCCCTGAGCAGCGTGTCCCATTTGTTTTGGATAAGAGCGGGTGGTCAGGAAACCCTTGCTGCTTTGAGTGTCAGGTGGTAAATGCTTCTGTGACCTTGGAATGTTTCACAACTACAAGTGTCTCATTTGTGCATAGGGATCTTTGAAATCTGTTCTATGTTTTTCTCCATAGTTAGAGCAATGGCATTGAAGTGTACAGGAAAACAAAAAATTGTTCTGAATGAAATGCAAAGAATGACTTGCCTTTCCTTTTGATTACTACATTAAACAAAACAACAAAAACAGCTGAAGTAAATTAATGATTGTAGGTTGAAATTGCTTTGTGTCATTTGGAGTACCAAACTGATTTCATTGGATTTCACCAGAAAATGAAAATGTTACTTTTCTTGTTTTTAACTAGATTTGAAGTCATTTGCTAATAAACTCTATGCTTAAAAGTTTGCTGTCCAGCACCAGTGTATTTTAGATTCTGTGACTGCAGATCAGAATCTGCCCACTCTTGAAGATGAATTCCATGATATTTCTGACCACGGTCTGTTTAAAAACTCCCTTCAGAGAGCATGGTGTCATTGGCACTGTCTGCACCTTACCCTTGTGAAGGATGGGCAGCTCTCAGGTCAAGGGTAAACTCTTGGATGGAACATTGTGGGACACTGCATTACAGCTGACAGTTGTCTGTGCCATGCAGATCAAGGACTTTGTGGTAAAATGCAAGTGTGTAAGCTTGGTGCTCAGTTTATCTCTGATTTGTATGGCATTCCTCTGGAGAAAGGAGTGCTTTTGTATTCTGAGTAGCTTCATTCTCTGTTGCAAATTCACCTTGGTTGTTACTTAAGTGGACTAAGTCTTTTGAGGCCTAATTAGATGTGTTTATCACTGTTTCTAAGAAACAAAGAAACAAAAAATTACAAGCCTTCCGGTATTTAGAATTAGTGTGGGGGGAAAAAGAAGAAAAAAGTATTTGCCATTATTGCATTACTGTGACTTGAGCTCTCGTATTTGTGCATAGTCCCATATAATTTTTTGTCCTAGAATTTCTTTGTTTAAATTCAGGACCTGAATCTTGTCTGTGCTTTAGGAAAGGCTTTTCTTTGTGTTTAGTGTTTCTGGAGGCTCAGTGGTACTGCAGGTGTTTTGTCAGTACTGCTAACACCTGTGTGGGTAGCACAGATCCAGAAAAACTGGTGCTGTACGTTCAGCATTAAGAAACGAGTACAGAGTCCTCATCTTTAGGAAAAAGGTGGGTGACATTGGTTAGACAGTAAGAAACAGTCCCATCTGGTGAGTGCTGAGTGAGCTGGGAGCTGCAGGATGGTGTGGGGCTCTGTCTGGCAGTGCTGCTGAAGGAGGCACTGCTGTGCCTGGAAGTCACGCAGGTAGCAGCAGCAGCTGGGTGCAGCTGCCTTCAGAAATAAGCTGACTGTGAGAGTGGTGAGGTGCTGGAACAGCTGCCCAGAGAGGCTGTGGATGCCCCGTCCATCCCTGGAGGTGTTCAAGGCCAGGTTGGATGGGGCCCGGGGCAGCCTGGGCTGGTACTAAATGGAGAGGTTGGTGGCCCTGCGTGCGGTGGGGGTGTTGGAGATTCATCATCCTGGAGGTCCCTTCCAACCCAGGCCATTCTGTGATTTCTAATGAAGAGATGCAGCTGTCTGTTTTGCCATTAGAATCCAAAAGATCTGGGGGTTGTACTTCATCGTTGTTACTGCAGGCTTGTTGTTTTCACCTTGGAGGATTACTGGGCTCGCTCTTCTCGTGTCGCAGTAGCACTGAATAAAAGCGTGATTAGGAGTAAATTTTTCAGAAGAGTTTGGCATTTGTTTCAGCACTAAATGGAAGTGGCTGGCATACTTTCAGAGCAAAATAATTCTGCAAGTTGGAGCTATATGTAGGGTTGTTTCGTTTTGCTTTTAAATTCAACTGTAATGAATATGCTTGAAGTGGAGTTCTCTTGAAAATCTGACAAATGCTGTAAAATATTTAATGGGTCAAAGCTGTGCATTTTGTTGGATAACATGTTATATTTTAACTAACAGGTGTACAGGAGGCCTGATATTCGGGTAAGGTTACCTGTGGCAAGTAGTAAAACGGCCTCCTGCCTGTTTGTCCTTTGTGCTGTGTGACATCTTGGTGTGTGAGTGTTCTTCTTTACTTCGCTGATGGTTTTTATGAATCACTCAGACCATGTTTCTATGCAGTGCAACAGCTTCTTTGCCATTGAAATGCTTATATCCGTTACTTTGTTTTCATGAGCAATAAAAGTCAATGTGTGAGAAAGCAGCATATTTAAATTACATTACAAATGTGCAATACTAACTTCAGTTTTATCGCATTAATTGTGACGACATGGATGCTTGCAGCTGAGGCTTATGTGCTTCTGACTGCTGAGTACTGTATGGGCACCTCTAAGGTAGTGTCTGCATTAAAGAGTGTTAGTGGATGAAAGCGTTGCATCTTTGTCCAGCCTGTTTAAATAGGATTCACATTCATTCTTGCTTTTGTACGTGTGCTACTGTAATGCCTCAGTCCTGTTGTAGAATGGGAGGTTAGGTTGGAAGTTGGGTGCTAGTGCACCGACCTGCATCTTTTTAATGACAGTTTTGTAGGTCTTGCCTATTCTTCATTGTTGTCTTGTCCCTCTCAGTAGCGTGTATAGAGTGAGGAATGATCTGGACAGCATTCTGACATTGTTCATGAAATGTGTCTAACGCTTTTATACAAACAAAGAGCTCTTGTTTGGTCGTGCACCAAGAGATGGAGTCTGAATGATGTCTTTCTTATTCCTTGTTTACATGTTGAAAATGATGTGTTTAGTCAACGCTCACAAGTTGATTTTTTTTTTTTTTTAAATGAAGGCTCTTGAAATAATTGGTGTGGGATGAGTAACAAAAATGGCCTGTTTTCCATTGGTTTTTCTTAGCCCTTTGTAAGGGGTTTGGTCTTGGAGTGGTCTGCTGTGCTTCTCTGTCCTTCACTGCTTTACACTCTGTCGGTGTGTTTTGTTGGTCCTTTTCCTAGTTTTCTCTCAGGGATCCCTATGCCTACTTTAATTTCAGAAGCAACGTTTGTGCAGTTGGAATGTAAGCAATTTCCATTTACCAGAATTCAGTCAATGCTTAGATGCTAGGAATTCTTCACTTATAAAATTTTTTTTCCTAGTGAAAACACTTTAAGCACTTGTAGTGTCCAGGCTATCTGAAGATACTATTTTTTTCAAGGAGCTCTGTAGAAATACTGTTAAAAGAAAAGTTTGATTTTAGCAAACAGTTGTAAATTTAGACTGAGTCTGGATTTACAGTCTTCCAAGTGAGGAGTTTGCTGGGAATACTGGAATGTCACAGACACAGCTCGTCTCTAGTTAATGCTGAAAGGACATGGAAGAACAGTTCTGGCTGAACGTGTCAAAGCAATTACTTCATTTGACCCAGTGACATCTGTGCTGCTACCTGGAGTGCCAGGGACGTGATGTTTATTAAAGAGATCTAATTAATGTTCAGCGTTTGCTACCATTATGATGCAAAATATATATACATATATGTAAAAAAGTGACTCGTTTGCATTATTATGCTCTGAGGAGTAATTGTAACTTTAAAGTTACTGAGTCACCTTCAGAGCAGTGCAGAAGTTCTGGGAAAAATGTGAAACCATGAAACTGAAAGCTAATTAAAACATGGCTTACACGGTATCATATTTCTAAAATTGACTGAATAATTTCTATTTGAACTGTTTTTTCCTTGAAAGACTGCATGACTTTTGTCCTAATGCTACTCTTGCAAGCTGCACTCAATTTCTTCTATTTATAAGCATGTGGCGTACCTTGAATTCATTTTCTTCACTATGAAGTTGCTTGTCTTAAAAAGACAGTACGTACTTTACTTTTTTGTGTACCAGCCCAGTTTCTTAAGTGAAAAAGAGGGGTGAACTCTGAATTCTGTGTTGTGCCAAATAACATTAAATGGGTGGCCCCAGTAGCTTGGAATGTGTTGTGTGGAAAGGGTTTTGTGTCAGGAGTGGGGAACTCTGGAGGCAAAGCTGTGGTTAAAGTATACGCTGTCTCTTTAAGGAAAGAAAAAAGGGGGAAACTAGAAAAGATTCTGTCCTTTCACCTGTTGTGTGCATGATTTTTCCTGTTACTTCTCTCTTGCCCTACTGCTGCCTCATGCAATGCAGGAGATTCAGGATGGACACAATGGCTATCATTCTGAAGCAGAAGCTGATCAGGTGGCAAGTTTTACTCATCTTTCATTCATTAACTGTGTAGTCAGGTACTGTATGCTAGTGCAGTACATTGAGACCTCGTATTTCTTGTTCTCAGAGGATTTGTAGAAAGCATTAGTGTGTTTGGTTATGTGCTAGGTAGGGTCTTCATCTGATGGCTTGTGGTCCAACCATTGCACCTAAGGCCCCATCTGACAGCACGCTGACCTCTGAGTTTGTGTCAGCTCCTTGTCTGCGTGTCGTCGTCTTTGTGTTTGGATGCCACATATAAAAATCTGGTGGTAACAAAGAAAATACCAAACCCAACATCAATTTAATTATTTTTGGAAGTTGCTTAATACAGGCTTGCAGTAGTTTTTTGGTTTAGTTTGGAGGCAGGCCAGTGCTACCATTATATTTATTCTCGCTCAAGATGTACAAAATCGAAACCTTGATGTTTCATCATGTTGACAAGAAAGAGCTCCTTTTCTCACAGAGCCCTTTAAGTCCCACAAACCACTGTGTTGTTAATTAAAATTTGTAGTAAATCTTAGCTGTCAACAAAGGACCCAGAGGATCAATCTTGTGTCAGTCAGTAATGAAGTCACTTACCTGCAGGAAAATTTGTAAACTAGCCCTTATTTTAAAATCACTAATCGTTCTTCTGTATTTCATTTTTACTTCTTAATCTGACTTTCTGCATCCACAACTCCCTTAGTGGGTCTCTTCCATAAAAGAGCATGTCAGGGTGTTTCTGACTGCTATTAGAAAGTAATAGCTGCTTTTAGCAAAAGACTAACAAATTGACAGCTGCAAATTTGGGCTGGTATTGTTCGTATTTCCTATGCTATATGTAGCCAGCACGTGAAACTAATTGTTGCATAAATGCTGTGTTACTAATATATTACTAATGTATGTCTGTGTAATATTTATAGCACATTTGCCTCTTTTAATACTGTGCTGTTTGATACAATTGTGCCTTGTGAAAAAAGACGCACTGTGTTCCAGTAATCTAGTAGTTAAAGCACTTTTCATCACAATATATCGATGCAGTGCAGATGGAAAGTGAGATTTACTCACAGTTTTGGGTTCCTGCCAGGCGCTGCGAGATGGAAACAAACTAGCACAGATGGAAGAGGCTCCGCTTTTTCCTGGCGAATCAATCAAAGTTATTGGTAAGCACACTACCAAGTACTACACTGAATACTATTAATCCACTGGTTTGTTTACTTAAAAATAGAATATTATTTCCCTTTGAGTTTTGTTCTTTTAATGTCTTGCCATTTTGGATTAGGAGACGCGGTGTGGATTTCTTTTCTTTGTTTTTTAAATCCAAAAGTAAACATGAAAGACTACTCAGTTCAAGAAGATGACTTTGTCCATTTAGATATATCATTCTTTTTCAAGTGTGACTTTGTTCCAAATTGGGTACACAGGTTGTGTTTCTGCTTGGAGCTGCTGAGAATACTTCATAGATTGAAAAGTTTTAAATCGTGATAACAAAGAACAGAAAGTTCCATAAAACTTCATTTCCAGTTCTACATCAGATTTATTTCACTCTGGCCTATGATGGCAAGGTCTGCATTAGTAGTACAGTACTTACCTGGAAACTGCATGCAGTCTTTCAGATAAAAGCATACATGAGGACACGGGCATGTAACTTTGAGGTCAGTCTCATACTTCTCACTAACTACCATTTGCAGACACACACACACACACACACACACACACACACACACACACACAGAAATAGATTTTTATGGAGTAACTGTCTGTAATAGTAAGACAGAGCTTCAATTGGTCTGTTTTCCAGCTAAAGACGTTATGTACATCTGTCCATTTATGGGAGCAGTCAGTGGTACGCTGACGGTGACGGACTTCAGGATGTATATCAAAAGCGTTGAAAGGGTAAGAGTTTGCTGTTATCTGCATTTTCTTTCCGGTAGAAGTGTTTCTGAAGTAGATTTCAGGAAGTGAAGAATTTGTTGTAAGTGAACGGTGATGTTCCACAGCGATCTATTGAACGGGAATTGTAGTTATCCTAATGAAACACCTGAATGATACAAGACTGTTCCAAACCAAATGTAACAAAATTCACTTGCTCTGTGTACAAATTTCAGGATCCACCTTTTGTTGTTGATGTTCCTCTTGGAGTGATAAGTAGAGTTGAAAAAATTGGAGTACAAAGCCATGGAGACAACTCATGTGGTATAGAAATAGTTTGCAAGGTATGACATGGTACAGATACGTTCATTTTAAAAGTTTTCATTTCATTTTCTTGTGAGAGGAATCAGCATACATGTGCTCTTTCTATCTGCTCAGTTCCCTGTATTTGAACATTGCTTCATTTAGATAACACATTTCAATTCCTCTTGTGATACTTGTGCAGTCTTCAACACTTCTGCCTTTTGTTCTAAGAGTGAATTCAAAGGAAAAATGGCTGTTGCCATTAGAGTTACTAGATACTGCAACAACTGTAGTCATCCATTACAAACAGTTATGAAACTCCATTCTGACATGGGTCAAATGATGTCAGTGACTGAGTGTTACTTATACGCCTGCCTTCTGTCGTGTTTCTTATAATTGCTGTTATCTTTTTTAATTTACCATAGGATAAAGTGATGTGACTTATTTTTGACAGGATATGCGGAATTTGCGGCTTGCCTATAAACAGGAAGAGCAGAACAGATTGGAGATTTTTGAGAACCTTGTAACACGTGCATTTCCTGTCTCTAATGGACTGGTACGTCTTAAGGTGCAGAGAAAGGTGTCTGGGTCTGTCCTCTCTTTGGAACGTGTAGGTGGGAAAACTGGAAGTGCTGGGTAACAAGCACTGAAGTATTGATTTATAACATTGGTTACAGAGCAGACAAGCTACTGTGACACAAATTTGTACAAAACTCTTTAGATTTTCCTAATAACATGATTAAGAGTATAGGGAGACTTGTTTTCTGCAGTAGATAGTTCAATATGAAAGTTCTTTTTGGAAAAAAAATACTGTTAGCTTAATTATTAGCTATCTGCCAATATACTTTTGTTTGCTTGTATGGATAAGGAACCGGTTAGAAGGTAGAAGAGTTTTCTCATCCTAGCTTTGCCACTGATCTGTTGTATGATTATGAAAAACTAACTTTAATTCTCTTTCCTTTCTTGATTTTATTGATTACATGGCACGTTCTGAAAGAAATAACTGTCTTTAACTTACTTTCTAGCAAAATGTCCATTCTTGACAGTAAAGCTTGTACCTGCTGTTAAAGAGTTCTAGAAATGTGACATTTGAAATAGGATTCTGTGTTTTGGAGCTTATTGTATATACAGTCCATCAGATAGTAATTTATACCTCTGTTTTGTTATTTTTAGCCTCTTTTTGCGTTCAGTTATAAAGAAAAGTTTGCTGTTAATGGTTGGAAGGTATATGATCCCATGTCAGAATACAAGAGGCAGGTAAGTTGCATAGGAAAGTTTTCATCTTTGGCTACCTGCAGAGACTATCTCAGTCTCATGTTAAGATCGTAGAAGCAAGTGGCCTGACTTTGACAGTGCTGACCACCTGCTAAAGATAAAGTACACAAGAGGTACATGAGCAAATTGATCTGTTAACATGCATTGCTAAATCTATTCCAAGTGCTGTTTTAAGAAAATGTAGTCTCTGTAAAGATTTGCTTATGAGTAAGCAGGATTAAACAAAGGAGTAACCTTAGTTTGTCACTGTAAATCTAGTTTCCCAGTTGCAACATTATTATTTCATTGTATGATCACTTTTTACCTGAGTGTACAGTCTTTTGAAATGGTTGTTTTGCATAGCAGTTTTAAAGATAATAAACAGGAAAGTCTTTCATTGTATTGACTTACGATAAAATCTGAGGACCTAAAATTTATAGCTTATTTAAGATAAAAATGTAGGCATGCTTTTTTTTTTTTTAAGTGTAGCATATCAAAATTTTCATTACAGAATCCAGGTAAGTACAGACCTAGCCTGAAAAATATAAAAAATGTTTTGCTTTCTTACAGGGTTTGCCCAATGAGAGTTGGAAAATATCAAAAATTAACAGCACCTATGAGCTTTGTGATACATATCCTTCTGTTCTTGTTGTGCCAACCAGCGTAAAAGATGACGACCTCTCAAAAGTGGCAGCGTTTCGAGCAAAAGGCAGAGTTCCAGTAAGTGAAACTTGCACAAGGAAATAGAAGTGCTCTGTGTATTTTCTGGCTTGTAAGAAATGATCGGAGTTCTTCTAGGTGTTTTTATTTAACATCAGTTGGCCCACTTCCTTTCTAAAAGGGGAGCAAAGAAAGAAGAATTAGGCTTTGTGAGTTTAGAACTGAAGAAAACAGTTGAAATGTGAGTCTTGATTGTTTGGTTATTATGCTGTTTAATACATTTTTGTTTGGAGTTAATGCTTCTAGGCTGGAGTATTATTTGATGCTAATTTGTTTATTAACTTGTGTCTAATTTGGTATGGAATGTGTTACAGCTGTGGCAGTTTTCTTGAGAATAGATACATTTTACAGGTAGTGAAAAAGCTCTTTTAAATACTTGGAGGGGTAACAGTGTTCGTGCTGTAGGTCTGCTTAGCAAAGTGCTGTACAGGTCTGTAAACTTCTACATGGAAACCTGTTCTGTTGTTTGACCACTGTCACAGTAAAGAAATTTTTCTTAATGTTCAATACGAATCTTCCTTGCTGTGTAGGCAATGGTTGTCTAATTGCTCTCTGGCTTGCTGCTTTTATATTAGTACAATAAGATAAAATGGTTTTGCTTTATTCCAGGTGTTATCCTGGATTCATCCGGAGAGCCAAGCAACAATAACACGATGCAGCCAGCCATTGGTAGGCCCGAATGATAAGCATTGTAAAGAGGATGAAAAATACTTGCAGACAATTATGGATGCCAATGCTCAGTCACATAAACTTATCATCTTTGATGCCAGACAAAATAGTGTTGCAGATACGAACAAGGTAGGTTGGCACCATAAACAGTAGTGGTATTCCAAAGATTGCTGAAGATCGAGTAAGAGATGAAGATACAGAGAATTTGGTGTGAAAAGAAATTTTAACAGGGATCTCTATTTAGAGCATGGGAAGGGAGGTAAGTTGTTTGGAGTATTTTGGAGTTGAAGGCAGCATGAGCACGTTCCTGAGAAATGATGCAGTAATGCCAGGAAAAGGACAGAGATCTCAGTAATAACAAGAGGAAACTGCATAGCTGTATTAGCAAATGTAGCCCTCTACAATACAGAATTTCTTCAGTCTAAAAAATCTACTCCTAGCACTTCTTGGAGAAAGCAAAACCAAGAAGGTATTTTTTAATAGTGCTAGAATAACCTTTCTTTCAAAAAAAAAAAAAAAAAATCCTGACATCTAACTGAAACATCTCTTTCAACCTTGTACTGAAGTCTTGTATGTGTTCTTTTCTTTGTCTGTTTTTACTTTTTGTATGACAGGCAAAAGGTGGAGGATATGAGAGTGAAAGTGCCTACCCAAATGCAGAGTTGGTCTTTCTGGAAATTCATAATATACATGTAATGAGAGAATCCCTGCGTAAGCTTAAAGAAATAGTTTACCCTACTATTGATGAGACTCGGTGGTTATCAAACGTGGACTCCACACATTGGCTGGAATATATAAGGGTAAAATACTTTCAGTGTGAAAAAATTGTTTTTAAATTGTGTTATTTACTTGCATTTCTGAAAATGTTATTAAAATAACGTCTCAAATCTTTGATCAGCATTATTTTTTTTAAAGAGTCACTTAAAGCCTAGCATTTTAACTGAAGTTGATCCATTCCATAGTAACTATTTTTCTGGCTCTTTGTATTGGTAGGTAATCAGTTAACTCCTTATAGCTCAGTATCATATTTGGTGTTGGACAAGGTTTTATTTTCTTGAGAGGAAATGTTTGTGAGCAGTCCAGGGTTATCCCTTCTTGGAAAACTGCCCTGGGAACTTCAGATTGCATTTGAATTACTGCCAGGAGAACTTCACTGTAGATGCAGCAGTCTTTGCTCATCCTTCCTTCCTTCAGTGTAGTGTTGGTGTTCATGTGTTGAACACCTACGTTTTCCTGGGCTGTTTACAGCCTGTGTTGCACTGAGCTATTATCTGCTCTATTAGTTAATGTAATATTAAAATAAATCACACAGTTTTACAGTCTGATTCATTAACCTCTGAAATGCTTTTAGAATAGATTATTTCATTATCATATTCACTCCTCTGTTTATGATGAATATGGGTGGAGTGGAATTTGTCTCATTTAGCAATTGCTTCAAATGTCACTCATGCCAAACATGCTTTGAATTAATCAGTTATACTTATTCAGTAGCTAGTACTTGCTAACTGCTGCAGGAGAACCAGTAGAGGGAGCAAATGCTTATATTATTATACGAGATTTAAACAAATTTATGTTCTTTTGGGACCAGTGTTCACTTGAAGTTGACTATTTCAAGGGGATTTGGGAATCTTGAGTATCTGGGAAGTCTTTTTTAATAATCAGCCTGGCCTTAAATGTAATCATCAAGTTTTAAAAGTGGATTTTTATGCACTGATCAACTTTCATTGTTACTGATTTCAGTGGGGTTTCTGGGCTTGCATGGCATCAGAGGTGAACCTTGATACCATCATCTCACAAATGACATTAGCAGTTTGAAACTTACATTATGTAGAAGACTTGGTAAACATGAGGCAGTCTTCATGACTTTGTCCCTTATACAGTACTTCATGTTACAATGTGGGCAGCATAATTTGCAACCTGATTTCCGAAAAGCTGCCATTGCTGCTGTAAGTGTGGTGCTTACCTTCTTTTCCCGATTCCTTTGACTTGTAACAATTAACAGGTCCACAGCTTTACTCTACCACCTATATAATATAAGGATAACAGAGCAAACTGTTGCATACCTGTGTATTTTACAGATAATTTTCCTGTTTTTGTTGAAGACCAAACTCTTTTAATATCTCCATAGCTTCATATTTGAAGTAAATGGCAATTAACTAGTTCAGTCTACAAGCTCTGTTCTCTTGTACAAGCTTTTGTAGTGCTTTGTGATATTTCCAGCCTGGCATCCTTTTCCTTAAAAGATGCAGTTGGTGATTATTGTCTGTGTAGCATGGTCTTGCAATTGTTTTGAAGACTGGCCTTGTGCACTTCTGCATTGAATTTAGTTTTCCTTCTTCCCAGAAGATGTTTTACGTGCTTAGGAAGGGAAGAATGCAAGCTTTTAGCAAAATTTTCTGTTTTCTCACATTGGAATGCAGAGAAGAATTTTTCTGGGGTCCTGTTCTGGTGCTTCTCTTCCCCACATATTTATCAGTGCCATGATAGGCTGTGTTTTAGGGACAAGCTTTCACAGGAGAGAGATTAGTCAAGTATGTTTAAAAAAAACAAACAACAAAAAAAAACAACTAGAGAGCAGCCAAAGAGAACTAAGAGAAGGTTTTGTGTGGGAGACAGAAACAGCAAGTTCACACAAGTGAATTTCAGTTCTCTGCCATCTCTTCCTTTGTTCCCCCAGCAGCTTCTGAGCCCAGGTTATTCATGGCCTTATTCATGGCTTGTGGGTCTCATGCTGTGTGTGCTTCATGCGCCAGCAGATCAGGGCAGGCTCCCAGCCAGTGGTCCCTGGTTTTGTTTGGGTTGTGTTTTGATTGAGATCAGTTTAGTGGTTTGTCCCTTCCTCTAGTGCTAGCAGTTAAGAACTGAAAGCTGAGGAAGGCAGGAGTGATTCTTTCCTGTGAAGATGAACTTTGATCACGTTGTTTTTTTGTCTTTGGGGTAGATTACAGGGTTTGTGTCTATTTTCATAATGAAAAAGAATTTCAATTTTCATTTAGTGAAGGGGGTTGCTAGCTTCTCTTGGTATGTACTACTGATAATGGAGAACTCTCTGCTGGACAACAGTGTGCCTAAGCTTGAGAACTGGCTTTTGTCCCTCCAGGTGTATGCATCTTGCTGTTTGAAAGTCTCTGATTTAACATAGTGTTGTCTAGATAACTGTGTTATTAATCTGTGAATTTCAAATATGTGATGTTTAAAAGTATAAAATTATTCCTTTTGGTGGAGTTTTGGTTTACATTTCTTATGCTTGTTTTTGTTTGTTTAAGATGCTTCTTGCCGGAGCAGTAAGAATTGCAGATAAAATTGAGTCTGGTAAAACTTCTGTGGTGGTACATTGCAGTGATGGCTGGGATCGGACAGCACAGCTTACTGCACTAGCTATGCTTATGCTGGACAGCTATTACAGAACTATCAAGGGCTTTGAAATTCTTATAGAAAAGGAATGGATAAGCTTTGGACACCGATTTGCAATGGTAAGGTGAAAGAATTTGTATGTTATTTGTCGCCTCTTTAATTTGGAATAGTATGTTTTTTCACATCACTTTGCTCTTTAGTTCCTTCAGTATTCATTCAACTCAAGAGCTAGCAGGAAATTAGGGCGTAATATCACAATTGTGTTTTTTTTAAAAAGCTTAATATAGTGGCACTTGGCATCTAACTTGAGAGTGTTTCAGGAGAAATGATACATATTTAAGCAAGTGGATATGGAAGTTTCTTCATTCATTCAGTTGTACTGAATGCCTATTAGTTTGATCCCATAAGCAGCTACACTTTGGAAGATGGAGGAAACGACTGGGAGAGCTCTGAGCAGCAGCAGCATGTCCATAAGCAAATACTGGAGAGTATTTTTAGCACTTGAAAAACATGGGTTGGCATTATGGAAAATTTGCTTGTCTTGTTCATCTTTGTAACGTATCATCTTTAAACAATGCTGTAAATACATTGGGCAGAAAGGAAAACCTCATTCTGTCTTTCAGCGAGTAGGACATGGAGGTGATGATCATGCCGATGCAGACAGATCTCCCATTTTCCTTCAGTTCATTGACTGTGTTTGGCAAATGACAAAGCAGGTAAGGTGTTTAGGAATATATTTCTGAGGTCTTACTAGTGTTATGGTAAAAGACATTGTATTGAAGTTTGCATAGCATGTGAATTGTTTTGAGGTGAGGAAGATAAATGTCTGGTTGTGAGCGCTCCCAGAACACTTCATTGTTGCTCTTGTGAATGTGGTTCTTAAAAATCTTGCATTGTGCTTTCCAAAGGGTGTATTTGAAACAGTTGTCTTACAAACACTATGAAGGCTTCCCACTGCAATACTGGGCCCTTGTTCAGAGTTGCTTGAAGACTTTCTCTGTATTTCAGCATTAATGTGCTATTTATTATGGCTGGAGTAAAATAAATGAGGAATTCTGCCCCTCTCTGAGAGAAAGGCTAATAACAATTGCAGAAAGAGAGACTTCTAAACACCTGGTAAGAACAGAAGTCCTCTGGGGAGATGCGTAATTAAGATCAGCCTCTTCTGTTTTTGTATTCTCCCTTTCTGACTCTGTTTCTTGCTATTTACAGTTCAGTTGCCTCTTGCTGAGATGAAATAATAATGGGGGAGCTATGGAACACTTAGCCAATACCACATTTGTTCAAAACCTGGATCCAAAAACCGTTGGGAAATTCATAAACAACAGTGACACTGAAAAGTCATTAAAGTTACAGCACAACAAAATAGAAAGCATCATTCTTTGAAAGTTTTGCGCACTTGTTTTTTAATTGACTTCAGCACCTACAGAATATGTGTGAAGATTGCAATTGCCTTGACAGTATCTGGAAAACCAGGATTCTATTTCATCCTTGTGTAGCTTGCTTGCTTATAACATGGTGTTAAGTTTCTTGCTTCAGAATCCATGGCAAACATATGTGACATGTTCCAAAGCTCAAATAAGTGTCAGTGACTGGGAGGGGATGTGTGTTCAGGCTCATGCTTGGGCATGGGCTCTAAGCAAGCAAATTTACTTTTGTGCTCTGAGCATTTCATTCTTAAAACATTCAGCTTAATATAGCATGAGAATCTCTAACTTGGGCTTGGATGCAGACTTCTGGATAGCTTCAGACAGTGGAACTTAGTCTTTGATAGCCTGATATTCTCCCAGATTTTTACACTCTTCATGACAACTAATACATTATTAGGGAGTTTGAGAGAAATACATTGATAACAGATTGAAAAAATAAGATGATTTCCCACTGCTGTCTGTAAATTCTAATGATTTCAAGAAGCAGATGTCAAGTTGGAATGGCCATGTTACCTGATGAAAATGAAAAACACCTGCAAAATTGGCAGGTAGTAAAGCAGCTCAATTACCTTCCTACTTTTAATGCATGCTACCCACATAAAAGAAAGGTACATCTCAGGTTGATTAAAAAGGTGCATTGTGTTCATTATTGCATGCCACCAGCTTCTGGAGGATCTTTTTGCATTCATTTCAGTAATACACTTTGTGATGTCCTGCTCAGTTAACCTGTTTCAGTCCAATTCCACAATCATAGGCGCCATTCAGCAAAATATTTAAACTTTGTTACTGTGGTACAGAATTGGTTTTATCAATTATGAAATGAAAAAGCACATTTGTTTTGCATCTCGTTGAGTCAGATATCACTTGGCATCATCAGACATTTTATGTAACAGAATTCTTCTCTTAAATACCTCCTTTATAAAAAGAGAAAAATGAACAACAAACCTTCCAGAAGCATCAAGTGGGAGATTTTAATGACCCATATGTTCTCTCTCAATTAGTGGATTTGACAAGAAGTAAATTTTCATTTGGGGAATTTTTCCACCTGAATCTTCAAACAGGCGCTAATGGGCTTGGAACTACAGAGGAAAGAATTTTTAGGTCAGTGATTTTTCAGCAGCAGTAACAGAAGCTCTGCAGTCTTGAAACATCAGCTCCAACAGTGCAACTCTTGTATTCAAAGACAGAGTTTCAATAAGTGCTATCACTTATTAATAAATTGGTTGGAGCGCAACCACTGATGTATGGAATTCTGAATATGCTTCGCTAGGTCGGAATAGCGGCCGTGTCGGCATCCATCTGATTAGTGCAGGCAGAGCCATCACAGAGCACTAATGTGACAAGGCTCATTACGTGCTTTTGGTTAAGGAGAGCTCCTTTAGGAGAGGCCTCGTCTTCAAAGTTACTTACAAATATCATTTTGATCGTTTGCCAGTTATTTTTGTGTTATGCATGTGCTTGCTGCTCTGGGCTGGGTGTGGGAGATTGAGATCCAGGCGGTGCTGGCTCTCCCCTGGCTAGGTCCAGCAGACCTGCTTAGCAGGTTACACTCTTAGGTTTTGTTTAAATGATAGCAGTGTTGTTAATATTGTTGTACTGAAGAAGAGTTAGAGCAGGATTTCCTGAGAGGGCATTAGTGGTAACTTCTGCACACGACTGAAAAAGAGAATTTGATCATTTTAACTTGCATCTTATTTAACATCCTGTATGTTTTACTTTAAAAGAAAATAATAATGATAATAAATGGCTTGGTGATAGAAAGCAAACTGCTGATTTGTATAGGAAGCTCTACTGTGAGCACTGCACACTGCTGAGCTGTACCTTATCCATAGCGGGGTCAGAAAGAAGGCTTCGTTTATTCTGTGAGTCATGGTATTGGGGGTTTCCTTACTCAGAACTTTCAATTGAAAGTTGGTATATCTTAGCTTGAGAAGCCTTAGAAGGAGAAGGATTTAAGTCAAACACTGCAGGAACAATCTTTTAAAATAGTGCTGCTTAAAACGTAGATCTTTCTGGTTTAAATACAAGCACAATTGTTGTGCGTTATTCAACTCCTTACTTTCAACATGAATACCATGTTGAGGTCACAGGTGATGCTGAAGAGGAGTTTCTGGATCAGGTAGTCCATCCCCAGTCCTGACTGCTGGGTTATTCCTCCTAGTTATACTGGTCCTTTTTAAAGTAGCTCTCAAACTGATGCCAAGGCAGTGGTGTTGCTCAGTGGCACATGACTGAACCCAGGCTGCTGCCTTCTTCACATCTGAATTTCTGGCTTGAGAGTTTTGCATAGAGGAGGAAATTCTTTATGGTGAATCTGTAATATTGCATTCTAGACTTGTGCAAATATTCACTCCTTTAGTGGAAATGAAGAAACGTTTTCATTTGTCCTAAAAATCAGTCTCCTAAGCTGCTTGTTCTCATGGCAAGGGGAGAAATGCTACTTATAAAATGTTCCTTGAGTTGTCTAAGTTTGTTTATTCTCTTAAATGCTCATCATTCCATATCTGTGTTTGAGACCTTTGTCATTCTGAAGAAAAAGTTATTTTGACACATGAAGCAGTTGCCATATGTAGTCCTATCATAAAATGATTGAAGGATGTTTTCCATCTGAATAGATAGCAGCCCATACACTTTCGTATTGATTTCTTCCTGACTTTGAAGCACTACGGATTGAGATGCATTCGAAGTAAACTCTGTGCTTTCAGATTTTCCATATGTTTATTCTAGAGTGTGTCAGGTGACTTCTGCTTGTGAATATAATGTTTAGTGGTATCAGAGGAATAACGCTTCTTTCAATTTGGATATCCAGAATTTACTTTCTGATATAGAAAGAAGAGAGATTAAAAGATGATTATATGTAGCTGATGCTAAACTTGAGGGGTGAATGAAGAAAAATGACATAATTTGGGTAAAAAATGCAAGAAATATTTAAAATATATATCCAGTGTATTTTATGTACATTTGTGTTTATTATCCAACTCACTGCATGTTAGAAGCAGAACTAAAGCTCTTAAATATCATAGAGAAATAAAGCACGTTCTGTGAGATAGGGCTCCTCACAATGAGTTGCTTTGTGTCACCAGTTTCTCACTAGCTAATGTTTCTGTGCTTGCATCCTTGTGCACTTGCATAATGAATGTAAGGTTTGTCTCTGAGGACTATGAAAGAAGTATGTAGTTGAAGTGTATTATTGCAGTGGAAGTTAAAGAAATCTCTTAGTTTTCTTGAAAATAATCACTAAATAAGAAAAAAAATTTATATGAATCTTTTAATTATTTGTTAGTTTCTTCCTTGCCATGCTGCTTAATATACAGCTTAGAGTAATTTTACCTTTTTTTTTTTAATTTAAGTTTCCTGCAGCCTTTGAATTCAACGAGTTATTTTTGATCACCATTCTGGATCACCTTTATAGCTGTCTATTTGGGACTTTCTTATGCAACTGTGAAAAAGAAAGGTTAAAAGAGGTAAATAATTGAAGTATATATCCTTAATATGTTGGTTTTGTATGTGAATGCTTAGGACATATGACTTGAGAACATTTAAGCTGTGTTTTTTGATAAATTTGCTACATAGTCTTTGAGGGCGTTACAGATGTAATTCCATGGAATACATAATGAATGCTCTATTAAGTGAGATCCCATTCACTTTTCTTTGGTTGTTATCTCCTGGCAGTTCTGAGGGTTTTAAAAAATTGACTTTCAGATATTTCTAGCCAGCATTCACAATTTTATGTAGTTACTATCAAGTGGTATTAATATTTCATTGCTATTTTCAGAGCAACTCTGTGCATGGCTTTAAGTCACTTCAGGACATAATTTTATGGATCCTGTGATTGAAGACTGGGGATGTTTAAAATGCCAAAATGAATGAAGTTAGGACATAATGAAATGCTTTGAGTTTGGAAAACATGTTTTGTTTTTTTTTTTTTTAAAAAAAAAAAAAACTCTTTCAGTATTCCAAATACACTTTTGGCTTTTTTTTTGTTTGTGGCACTTCATGTTTGTGTTAGAAAAGTAGCTATTCCTTGACAGTTAGGTCTGTTTTCAGGTTTGTCTCTGCTTCCATAGAGGAGAAAGTTACACGCAGATACCACAAGGTGGAGCTGAATAACATTCTCAGCAAATGCAGAATTTCCCAGCAGCGTTCTTAGTAAACTAGTTGTGTGCAGTTCTCGATAAAGAAATGCAATTTAAGACACAGAGGTAGCAGAAGCACATGCTTAACTACATTGTACAAGTGTAAAATTGCAAGATGAATCTGATTGAGGTTCACATTTTGAAACCTTGATCTAACCATGTTTATGCTGATTATGTTTAGTATAATAGAACTTTCAGAAGTGCAAATAAAGCTAGTAATTTTAAATCTCAGTACCAATAGATACTGGGAGCAAATAGTTTGAGTTGGAGAAGGAAGTCATTGTTTTCCACAGGTGTTATTTTGGATCTTTCAAATCGCATTCTCTCCTCACTGATCTTCTTTTCAAAGCTAACTTATTTGTAAATCTTTTTGAAGTGGTCATATATACATATAATTGTAGATTTAAGGAGCCGCAGACACTGTAGTAAGTTATGACCAGTACAGCTTTCTCTTCCTCAACTAGAACTCATTGTCTTTGAAAATATTATGCCTGAATCTCCCTTCTCAGTTAGCTTTGGAAGGGAACGAGATATCAAAAATTTTGATAAAGCTTTGAGACTTAGTGATCAGCAAGTGTTCTTAGAGGATAGTATTGCAGTATATCAGGTAATCTTCACAAAGATACTGATATCTAGATAATGACCTCACATTTAACATCTTGCAATCCATGTACTTATTTTTCTGTATTTTTTTTTAATTCAGGAGTTGAGCACTAAGACTGTATCGCTGTGGTCCTACATAAACAGTCAGTTAGATGAATTCACAAATCCTTTCTATGTAAACTTTGAGAACCACGTCCTGTATCCTGTTGCCAGTCTGAACCATTTGGAACTGTGGGTCAACTACTATGTCAGATGGAACCCGAGGATGCGGCCTCAGGTATGAGGTTCCACTTCTGTGTTTCCCTGAAAGTACAGAGATAAAATTACTGGTTTTTGTAAGGTCCATTTCATTCAAGAAAAGTATTCTTGTCTGTTGGTGGTGGGGGAAAAAGATGTTTTTTCTAAAACAAGGCATGAGGTATGTTAAAACTGTGTAAAATGTTCAGTGTTCACTAAGTAGAATGTAGTTGTAGTACCACTTTATGACTTGTGAAAGGTGACATAAGCACTCTTTCTTTTCAGAAGATTACTGTAATATTTTACAACACTTCTAATGCTTCCGTTGCATTAACCTTTTTGTGTAGTTTCATTATGTTTTGCTGTTTGGCAATTATGTTATAAAATGCAGCAGCAATTTCTAAAAGAAATTGATCTACATATCAGCTCATTTGTAGACTCTAAGCTTTCTTACAGGTATTTGTTTTCCATTGACCTTCCTGTTTTCAAGCTGGCATGCTGAAGATTAAACACTCCTGAAATGTACTCCTTGAATCATCCAGTATTTGTTCTTATAAGTAATGTCTCCTATTCAGACAAATCTCTAAATCTCATCAGAAAAATGCTGTGTTTTATCTTCAGAATTCTGAGAGTATACATTACGTTTGTTTCACGACCATAATATATCTGAGGATGTTACTCTGTCTCTTTATTAAGGTAACATTTCAAGGTATCCCCAAGCGACTTAATGATAAATTACCTGCGTTGAGTGACTGTTTGAAAGCTGCTTTCATCTTCTAACAGTTAGCAAGAGATGTGAGTTTCAGATTTATTAGACACCCACAAGTCAGAGCCTGTTTGAAAAGACGTGTTTCAAGGACAGTACACTGTTAGAGATCCAAGCATCTGAGCAATACCCTGTAAGGTACTGGAGAAATATGGGTTGCTTGCTTCCTCGCTGAGGTATTTCCTTTGCACGTCCCTGTTGCCCATACTCTGTTTTCTGGATGTAATCCTTTGTTAGGTATCCGTTTATAGCAATGTGAAATTTTTATTTTTATTTTAATCTTCGTTGTTTTGAAGTCAAATTGCCATCTGCTTTTTAGCAAAATGCCACTTTCCCTAAACCTGTTTGCTGGAAAACATTGGCAGTGTTTATGCACGTTTTAGTAGAATTGACCTTCAGGGATGTCATTTGTATTTAATTGGGATCTGCAGGTCCTGAAAGCGAAACAGGCTTTGTAAACACATGTGGAAGTCAGTAACTCTCCAAAAGAGATAAGTGGTGGGGAAGAGTGGACATAACAGGAAAATACCAGAACTACCTTGGCACCGTGTGTATCTTAGTGCCCACTGCCTCTCAGTCAGCAGCTCTGTAAAGAAATTACATATAATGATATGTATTCATTTCCAAGTTGTGTGGATGGCTTAATTGGTACTATTGATGGCATTTATTTGCATGAAGAGCCCCAATTTAGGAGTATGGCTGTATTGCAGGAGGTGCTGTGCAGTGAGGTGGCACACAGCCTCCTTGCAGAGGGTTCTGAGCAGTGAGCCACCTAGAAAATGTTAAATGTTAAATGTTGGGTTGGTTTTGCAGATTCCTTTTTATGCTAAACTCTGCTTCAGCAAGGTCATTCTAATTCCTAAGTGAAATAAAGTGTTCCTCAGTTTTGGTTTGGAGGTGTTACATCATTATTGACTTCTTGTCCTAAGAAAATTAGATTTTAGTCCTGTTGCATTTGAATTCATTGACTGGGAAGAAGCATGCGTGGGTTTTTTCTTTTTTTTTTTTCTTATTTGCCCTTTCCTTGGGTTGGAGAAGTGAGTATTTCTGTGTGACGTGGGAAGGATAAGCTCTTTCAATCTTTGTACACAGAGTTGAATGCTCTGTGGGTGCATATTGCTGTGTTTACAGGTGACTCTACTGGCCTGGAATACATAACATAGTATAATGCTTTTGAATTTTTTCAGTTGGTACCATTTCTTTCTTTTCCCATGTGGTTGTTCAGACCTCTTCTTTACTGCAGTCTGAGAAGTTCAGGCTGCTAGCTGTCAGTTGTCTATCCGGGCAACTCGGGGAGGTTCTGCAGGGGTGGTGTTTGCAAGCTAGGATGCTCTTTGCTGTTCTGTTGTGCAGTGCGTGAGTAAATGTTCTGTTCCTTTCAGTTCAAGCTGTCTTGCTATGGAAAGACAAGAGTGTACTCTAGTTTATAAATTTGCATTACCCATTAGGTTATGTGTAGTTGTTTGTATGGTTTCTGGCAAATGGCATTTTAATCCTTGGAATAGGGAGCTTAAACTTGCTTTAATTTTTTGTTTTAGTTTTTCCACACCTGCAGTTTTTTCTTCAAGTTCTGTTCTCCTGGAAGTGGGGCCTCTGTTCTAGAGAGAATCTTTTAGGAGTGCTTCCGAGTTTCTCAAATATGTTCTTTTTTTGTGTGTGTGGAGTTCCATCCAGAACTGAAGATGAGCACTGTCTGCTGGCTGTGTCAAGGAAACTCGGGTTGGCTGGTGGCATGGGACTGTCTGCTGTGGGCAGTCCTTGGAACTTCCTGCAGCTGCCATGGGAGGTCTGTTCCTACTTAGAGGCTGGCTTTAAAAAAAAAATAATAACTAGCAGTTTGTGTGGTGTATTCAGAAATAATCTGAAAAGCATGCAGATAGGTTACAATGATAGCTGCCTTCTTTATGCTATGTAGGAATTGCAGAAGAATCAGTTTTGTTAAGCATTTAAGTGATTAAATGTCAGCTGAACTTCAGTGTCAATAAGCACATTTGCATGTGTTAAAGATAAGAGGCTAAGTGTTACTGGAAAATCAGTTTGGATTAAAATGGAAGACGTAATTACGGAGTGCTTTGTGTTACTACGTATGGACAGGACGTACAGTGTGGCCCCAGGGTGTCTGTAGCAGTTCCACCTGCCTTCAGACATGTTTCCCTGCAGGTTCTTTGCTGCCATTGTTGACATCACTTGTAATGCTTGCAGAGTTCACACACATCTGTAAGAGAATTTGGTGGCAGGACAAAGCCACCCTACGGCTCTGGAAGTGCATGGCATTGCTGGCCCACAGCCCATGGTTTTGAGCGTATTGTCTTTGCGTGGAAGAGTGAGGCAGGAGATGCAGGAAGAGGAGGTGCTGCGCTGGTCAGGTAGCTGAGAGCTCCCCGGAGAGCTGGATTTCATGCCAGCATTTACTACAGAGTTTCTTCTGACGAGGCAGGTGTCTCTTGGTGCCTGGTCATTTCTCGCTATCTGCGTGTCCAAGTCAAGGTTTGCCGAGGCTGACTTGTGTGTATAACTTAGATCAGCAAGTAGGGCCCTCTGCATTCAACTGATGCAGAGTGAAATACAGACTAACTGCTTTTCCTATGTTCTGAAAGAATGTGTAGTTATTTGGGGAAAAAAACTGGTATTTTGTAATGAGTCCTGCATCAGGTTGTGCACAGAGATGGAAAAATTAACATGGTAGAAATAACTTAATTCTGGGGAGTTTCTAACGTATTCTGAAGAGCAGGTCCTTAAAACATCACTCTCATCCTTCAGATGTCGGAGCTAAATGACGTGTAGAATTAAACAAGTAATGGCATCAGTCCATAGCGTGTCACGTTTCCTGTGCCTGTAAATCTATACAGTTGTTTGCCAAGTGTGCATTCCTGTTCCTGCATGGTAGGGTTTGTAATTTCTATTTACTAGTCACTGCTTTTCCAGGAGGCCTAGGAGTTTGGTTGGCTTCCCAGGAGCATACCTTTATAGAAAGCATGGAAGTATTGAATATTATAGAAAACTGCTGTTTTCATCGTTTGAGATTGACTTTTTCTGTGAGCGTACTGTTAACTAGGTTTTAAAAGCAAGTCAGAATTCCAGCTCGTCAGGAAGAGGAACAAAAAGCTTGAGTGAAAGGTACTGCTGTCTTTGCAGTGCACAGAGTAGGTTTTTGGAAAAATGACAGTCTGAAGAAAAGCAATGAATTTAAAATAACTATTTTCCTCTGCATCCTTTCTTCCCTGTTGCTAAAATAGATAAAGTATACTCACTGAACAAGACAAAATGCATTCACCATTGAACAATTTTCATGTGAATGACTGTCCTTGAGCTAATACAGCGATATGCAGTAGATATCCAATTAAGACTTAGCAGTACAGTAAGAGAGTAGCTATTATAATTTCTTTCATACTTCTTGTGTTGACAAATTTTGTTACCCAGAAGCACTTCAGGATCTTGAAGGGTTATTTGGAGATGAAAACCTGAGAACCAATACTGAAAGTAAACTGTAGTAATTCTATGAAGAGAAAGGTTTGGAACTAATAGGAAATAAAATTGCCTTATGTCTATAGATAGTTGTGTTGTGGTATGTATATTGTGTAGTGTAACTGTAGCTTCTGCGTGACTATAATTATTTTAAAAATAAAGAAAAAGGTAAAAAGCACAAATCACTTTCCTTCAAATCCTTATCAGGCAGAGTAATTTATTGTAAGTGTAGAGTGGTGTGTTCTGAGAGTTGCACTGCGCCTGCTTTCAGTGTGCACAAGTCGGTTAAAAATGGTTTCATGTCAGCAGTATTTTAAGCAATAAAGGATGTTTCCTCAGTATTGTTCTAACTATTTTTCAGCTCACGATAGGCAGTAGGCACCTTATCTGTATGATGTAGGAGAGGCAACTATCTGGTTTTGTGTGAAACAGGCAATGAAACTGTAGCTAACGAGGAAAATAGACGTCCACCCATTTTAAGCAGTTCATACTGTAGCACGAGATATGTCAGTGGGAACCTACAGTCAGCTCTTCCTGGGTCAAGAACTCTATTTGGCTCACTCTGTTTTACAGCACTGTGCTGGGTTTTATTGGCTTGGGTGGAGGATGCCACACATTGCAAGTATCACTTGCAGCGAGAGAATCACGTCTGGGCTTACCAGGGGAAGAGAACGCTCATGCCAGAGAGAAGGCACCTGGCTGTACAGGCCTGGATCAGGAAGGGGAGGGAGAAGAACTCAGTGGCAGGGAAGGAGTGCAAGAACAGAAGGCAAGTAGAAGTGAGTGCGAGGAGCAGGGTCAGGTCCAAAGCTTGGTCATGGCTTGGTACAGAAAAGAGGAACTGAAAACTTGAAGAGTTGAAATGGGCAAAAACGTGAGTTGTCTAAAAGTGAGGGAATCCTGAGAACTTTGCTAAAGAAAATAAGGTGTTTTTTTATTACTATTTATACTTTAAGTTGATTATGAGTTAGGGAAGGGGACAACATAAAGTCTCAGTCGTGTTCTTTTTAGTTCCTGAGTTGTTATTACAGCAGTAAATAATAATTAAAAAAAAAAAAAAAAGCCCTAACACCATTAAGTCTTCCTGAGGTGTTGCAGGTAAGTTCTCTGACTTTGGCAGACCCAACTTTTTGGTAAATGTCTGGAGCAAGGTCAGACTTGCTGAGGATCCATCCCTTATCCCTGCTGCTTAGGGATGTTGAAGTCCACTCCGTTGTCCCTGCCTGGCTGATATTTCTAGGTGTATTAGATGTAAATGGCAGTGTTGTTTTTGACAATGTCTGCTCGTGCAGAAACAGCTCTCTTACCTGGAGTGTGGAACTCAGATGGCTGGGTGCCAGCCCTTGCGGCCTGCTGTTGCCTAGCAGCGTTACTGAGGGGACAGGCTGGGAAGCTGGCACTGCAAAGGAATGGTTGCATGCCTTGCTGAAAGCCTAGCATGAATACCACGGAGTAAAGCAGCAAAACCTGGGTACTGGGCTCAGGGTCATTTTGGAGCTCCCTCTCCTAATTTGAGAGGCACAGTGAAAGAGGATGCAGTGAATCTGCTCTCAGACTGCCAACAAATTCATCTGTCAAATCAGCTACATGATTTCTTAACAGGACTGTAATAAAAGCTTGTCGTGGAGGCAGGACGTGCTGTGTGAGGATATGTTTGTAGAGATAAGGTGATTACAAGGCCTTTTAATAAGCAGTCTTCTCTGAGCTTCTTGGTCTTGCAGAATCTGCTGCTCTTCCTTTTAGCAAAGATGAACTTTGTTCCTGCAAACCACTGGGGTATGATCGAGATGATGTTTGGACCCGCTGCCTTCTGAAGAAAGCTTTCTTTAAGAGAGGAACCATGTGGAAATAGAATGGTGTGAGATGGCAGAGCTGTAGGTGGGTAGTTAGTTATCTACAAGAACTTGCACAAGGTGGTGTGAGGAAACACTGGCAGCAACAGGCTTGCATGGGAGTAAGACTGGAGGAACAGTGGAAAGGAAGTAAACCTGTTTTCTCTCAAGAAAGGGAAATTACAGGAGCCGACTTAAAGATATCTGGGAGAATATGCAGCTCCTTATTTAAAAACAAACAAAACCCTGGAAAGCAGCACAGTACACAACTTGTATTTTTTCTGTCTTCAATCCTTTGGCTGCCTGTATCACTTCTTCTTAACCCCATGCATATGTGATTCTAGCACGGACCCTTATCACTAATGAATAAGTTATTGTTAGCTGTTGAGAAATGCTCTGAAAGTGTGAAAGATTTCTTTACACTGAATTTGAAACGTTATTCCAAGTAAAATGTGTATCTGAATTTTATTGCATAAAATCTTACTGTGTTCTGTGGCTGTGCATCCACATGGCATTGTATATGAGGTGCGTGTGGGGCTGTGTTAAATGCAGAGCAACAACACATCTTTTTCTGGAAATCATGAGAAAAAGATTTGTGTTTTTACTAGCACATGAAATGGCATGGTGATGTTTATGTGGACATATTTTGCAGTGTTTGAATCTAATGTGCACTTCTTAAAATATGACCATATTTTAAACTGACCTTTTTTCCCCTCCAGACTCTACTCTGTCTTGCTTACAGCTTTGCCAGACTTAAATGATTTGTACTGAGTCATCAACTATGTGTGTCTGCCTGAATTGCTTTGTAAACTTTATCCGCAAAGGCTTTGTTTCTTAGGGGAGTACAGCTAAGAAAAATGTGAAAATATTGTATGGTAGGTTTCCTTTTGTTGGGGTGAAGGGCTGTTCTGTAAATGCTCCATCTCTAGGGCAAGCAGGAGATTTAATTGAGAATCTTTCAGAAATGTGGCTGATGGTATCCTCAAAGACATTCATCTGATGTGGAGGGCTGAGGCAACCATCTCAGTACGTTCTTAAGCGACAAGAGTAAATGCAGTTAGAAGGGAAGAGATGGATTTGATACAAATGTGAGTGAGCTACAACTGATGGGGAATAGGAATGAGTAGTGGGTAATGCTCAGCAAGGTGAAGCTCTTTGCTGTCTGTTGTGCTCTGGGAATATCATCTGAGAAAATAGAAGTTTCACCCAGTCTGTATGGAGTCTAATCAGAACTAGCCTTAACCACTTGAAAAGGAGAATGTGACAGCATTCAGCTTGACTCTTGGTAGAGATGCTGTATGTGAAGTCATAATGGTACATTATGTTCTGCACAGCCCATCTGACTCACTCTATGGAACAGTTTTCTTTGGGGCAATCTAGACTGTGTCATGAAGGATGCTGGTGTCTGTGGAATCTAAACCTGCTGGGCGCTGTTCGTTTCTCACTGTGAGATGAAGGACAGAAAAGTCCATGAGGAGAAGAGAGCATTTTGATTTCAGAAGAATAAATAAAGGATGGGGTCAGAAACTGCAAAAAAGAAAAACTTAAAAACCTGAACACTGAAGAGGTGCTCTCTAGTGGAGTAGCATCAAACTCTGCACTGAATAAAGCAGGAATATGAGAAGGAAAACAGCATTTTAATGTGTATCTAACCAACAATTTTATACAGGTGTACAGGAAGGCTGGATAAAGTTTGGAAAAATAATCTTCTTTCTGAGATTCTGTTTTTTTGAGTGCACAGTTTTTCAGCCTTTGCATTGAAGAGTTTTCTGTGTGACTCAAATATGCGCAGCCTTTTAAAAACATCATTTAGAGAACTAACTTTAAGATCATGCTCTTTGAGATGTAAGCCTGGGGAGAGCAGCACTTCAGCTAAGGCAGAAGATGTGAATTGTTGAATTGAGTCATAGGGGAACACAGAAGGATTGAGCAGTGCAGGCACTCAGACCCTCCCCTGAGCACATACATAGCATGCCATGCTCTGCAGGGTTTGGTTCCCAAAAGGCAGCTGTATGGAGATGCTTCTGTGGGAGCCTGGGCACTGTGCAGCGGAATGCTCTGTGTGACCCTGGTGTCATCCACACCCCTTACTTGTCTTCTCTGTAGTGCATATTACAGCATCTTGAGAAACTTCACAGCCAGCCTCAGTGTTGTTGCGTTTTCAGGTGTATTTGTTTTTTTCGCAGAGCACCTTAGAAAAATGAGATTGCCTTTCTCTAGGAGGTGCTTTGTGTTTGGTTAGTGAAGGAGGCTGTTGTCTTTGGACTTGCGGCCTCACTGGCTAAAGAATTTGTGTGGGCAGTGTAGGCAAGGGTTGCGAGGAGGAAGGCTTGTGAGTTGTGACTCAGTTGTGTGTTGATAGTGAGGAAACCCTCTCTGATTTTCTTCACGTAATACTGTGTGAGAATGCCCTGCTTGGGTGTGCATCCCAGCCCTGCTGTTCTGGGTGAAGGTGTTCCAGAAGCCTGACGTGTCACTTACTTGCTATGTCTAGCAATCTTGAAAGTTTCCCAATGCTACATCTTCCCATGATTACCTTGTCAGCCCAATTAATTTGTTTTCCCATATTGTGCTTTCCAAAAGCTGTAAACAATTCAGAGATGATGGAGAATAAGAGAAATTAAAAGCAATAGACAAACTTTTTTGGCCTTTCTGTGGCATTTGAAATAAGGGAAAGCCTCTCTCTGCTTGTCTGAGGAAAAAAGATCCAGCTGTTTAAAAAGCAACATGACTCAAGTCTTCCTTTGTCTGCAACAGATTTTAATGTACTGGAGAAACCTGACAACCACACCAAACTTGATGCAGATCTTGGCCAGAGTCTCCAGTGTTCTTGATGCCACTGTCAGAAGCAGAGGCAGAAACCCATGTGAGCCACGTGTACAAAAGGTGTATTGGTGTCTGGCTTAGGAGATCCAGCAGAGGCACAATCCACGTGGCTGCTGCGCTTGTCTCACTAACGTGCTGGAGGGGTCAGGCTCTTGGAAAGGTGCCTGGCTAGAACGGTAATGAGATGCTCCCCATGGAGCCAGCTTTGTGAGTTCTGCCTCGCAAGTTCTGTCCCAGCAGGCATGGGAAATAGTTCTCTGTGAAGGCATTTTAAGCTCAACTGAAAGTGGTGGTGGTAAGGAATAAGGATACACTTACCGGAGTGTTTTTGGTATCCCAACAACTTGGTTTGCAAAGTGTTTTGAACAGGCTTCCTGCCAATTGTGTGTTGTTAGGAATTGTCCAAAATGTTCCCTTTCAGATGGCTAAATGCTGTCCCTAGATATTGACACACTGAAATTCATAGCTGCTGGATTCGTGGTGTTACCATGGGACACAGTGGGAGCATTATTTGAGAAGATAACTTGTTATGGATCAGAGTACACCTTTTCTTTCTTCACCCACAGGTTCCAATCCATCAGAACCTTAAGGAGCTGCTCGCCATCCGGACTGAGCTTCAGAAGAAAGTTGAAGATTTGCAACGGGAAGCAGCTACACGGTCCCTTTCCTCCTCCTCTGACAGAGGTTCATCTCCGTCCCATTCAGCCACACCAGTGCACACTTCTGTGTGATGTGTAACTAAAGCTGTGTGAAACAATTCAAGTCAGGTAATACAAAGAGGGGGCAAAATGTTTTCCCATCACGCAGGGATTGTGAGTGGCTTGTAACTGCTGTGATCTACATGCCTTACTGTGTCTGATATTACTACAATGAGGCCAAAAAGAGCTTCAATAGATGTGATGTCTTGTATTGTTGGCAGTCCCCACATGTTTTGACATCTCTACTTAAATCGTCAATTGTGAAATTAAACTTTGTTTTGAGCAACTAACAATTTAACCATCCTCAAAAGGGAATCCATCTGCTAAGCAGACAGAAAGATGCCTCTCACATTGCCTAGGGTACTATGCCTGCTTGAGAGAATCAGATGAAATGAACACAATGCTTACACAGAACACTGAGGACATTTTTCTGAATGGGAGCTCTGTATTTCACACAGTAATACAATATATATATATTTTTGGTAAAGCAATTGTGTTTTTTAAGGAAATTGATGCACTTGGAAATTGATTTTAAAGTAATGTTTTCCAGTGTAGTCAGTTTTGCATTTCAACTAAATATGCCATTAAAAGTGGATGAAGATAAACTGGGTTTGTCAAATACACCGTGCTGACGTGTATGATGTAATATATTTGGTGGAGCATGTATTTTAGTTTTTTTAATGCCTTTTGTACAAGTTGCAATAAAGTCTTTTGATGGTTTAGTTTATTGTTCAGCTTCAGCCTCCTGAGTTGAGGGGTGGACTTAATCACATCAAGGTCTTGTTCAAAGTACAGGTTTGTTTTCTAGCAAATAATAGCACTGGGGGTTGAAATGACACTCAGCTGTGTAAATTGTATAGTCTGTATAGCTCCACATGTTGTTAGCAGTGTTTTATTTCAAACTGTACACACAAAATGCAGAGCCATGTCCATTCATATGTGTGTGTGATGTTCAGCTGATGTTCTTGTGCTCTGAGTCAGAAAATGGACCCTGCCTACCCAAACTCATTCAAAGACCTTAACTCATAATGACTTTGTTTGACAAAGTTTTTTTAATAATATGAGCTTAATTGGTTTGCTTGAAATAAAGCCAGTTGGCTGTTTTTTAAACTTTTGTTAGCATTTTTTTTTTCTGTAAAGTGAATAATGCATCTCAATTTTCATGTAAAATGCACATTCCCAACAGTAATACCCAAAGGTATTACTGCTTGTACAGATACTTGATAGCTGTAACGTCCAGCTTTTCAAGACAGTGACTCCATGGCCTCTTTAACAGGTGTACAGATGGCCTCTGTAGAAAGGCATAGAAGTGGTGCATGCTGCAAATCTTCCTGTTCCTTTTCCTCACTGTGTTTTGGGAGATTCTGATTCCTCTCCTTGATGTGCTGAAGTGCTGCAGGTGTGCTTTGCGATTTGTGCTTCAAGTTCTGCTGCTGGGAATTGAGCCCTGTTCTTAAGAATGTGACGGTTCCATATGTGAATGGTGTGATTTACTCCCTGTAAGTAGGCATGTATTATCATGCTTTTGCCCTTAATATGAGACAGCACTTTTCTGTTTCTCTCCATTAATATACACAGCGTACAGTAAATGAGGGAGCTGAGCTGCAAGTGCCTGCAGCTCCACCTGGAAAGCAGATGCACTGTCTGTACTCCCAAGTTTCCCATGCAGGGCTGGGTGTGTCTTCTGTGATGCAGCACTTTATAACAGGTATTTGCCTACAGGAACTAAGCACAGGCTGCTGCAAGGTAGCATCTCCTAACAAACCTCATGCTTTTTATGAATAGATGAGTAATGTTTCTCTGTTTAAAAAAAAAAAAAAAAAAAAATTCTGCTAAACTGATGGCAGCAGTGAATTTTACATTGCCAACATATGTTGAGCTGGGATTGAAAGGAACTACCATGGTTCAGATTTCCTTGATGCTTTAACTGTACATTAAAGCAAAGCATTTTATCTCTAAACTGCAGCACTAAGGAAAATCTTTTGAAGTTTTCCTCTTTATTGGTGCTCATAGTCACAATGTTTCCTCTGTAATTATTGTGGAAGTGATGACCGGATTAGGTTAGGCATTGTGAGATTTTAAAAGCTTAGGTTCCTAGAACTGCAGTGTGAGAACTGTGCTGTGCCACAAAGGCTCCCATGTACCTCTGCTGCTGCAAGTTCATCCACGGGTCCCAGTGCAGCTCAGGGCATCTGCCTGACTGCAGGGGTAGGCAAGGATCCTGCTGTGATGTGTGCATGGCACAGGTGGTTTTGCACACACTTACTATGGTGATTTTCAGAAATTCTGTATAGGTGACGTGGTAGCTAAAGCATTGTTTTGTACCACAGAGGTGGTCAGTAGACTGTAGTCAGTCTGTTTCCCAGCATTTTTTCCTATTGATTTAACAACTATCCACCTTTTTTAAAAAATTTTTAATAAGGCAGTATCAGACTGTTTGAAGTAAGAGCAGAATGCTGCTTCCTGTTTGATGTACCCCATATGGAACTGCGAAGTCTAATTCAGTAGCTGCATTTTCTTTTGCTTTGTTTGTTTGTTTTTGACTCCTCATAAAGGGAACGTGCTGAAGGACAGCAAGCAGTTCAGTTGGACACCTGAGAGAGCGGAGAATGTGAACCTGGTATACCGGAATAGACTGAAGCCATGTTAAACAATTGAAGCAGTTTTTGCTTGTGAAGTTAACTGACTCATCAGCATCAGACACTTTGCCACTTCAGTCCTATTCCAGGGCTTAATTACACTTTTTCCTCCTCTGTAGATAAGTGTCAGTGTTCTGAAGCTGGTGAACAGTCTTATCCACCCCTTTTTGTTCCCTGCACAGGCAGCCTCCTGCAAGGAGTTAATGCTTTAAACAAAGAGAGTGATTTCTCCCTTGGTTTAAAAGAAAAGCTGTATTAAGCCATGTGCTGTATTAGCAATGCCAGGAATGGCTGGTTCCTCGGGACTGGAAGTAAATAAGGGATCAGCAGCTCACATTTGGGTGGTTTGAGTGCTGTAGTAGAGGACAGGGTAAAACGGGTGATTCAGAATATTCCCCGGGTGAGGATGCCTCGTTGTAGAAGATGCAAAAAGGAATGCTCATGTGCTGAGAGATCGTATCTGGATATCCTACCCCGGGCATCTCTTGACTGCCAGGCCACCCATGTGCAGTTGGCAAGAAGGAATTTTATTTCTACAAGGAGTTGGAAGTAGTGGGTACTTTGAAACCTGTCAGACTAAGCAATGCACTGTTACACAAAGGTCAAAACCTTCATTTACACTGCATGGGAGATTCATTCACTGGTTGTGAAAATGTAAACCTGCAGTGGTGCAACAGACTGACAGCCAGTGAGTGCAGTCAGAGAACTGCAGTGCCTGAGGAGGAGAGGGATGACCAAGTGTGTGTGCTTACCTACTTCAACTGTTAAATTACAGTCCTTTAATGATGCATGTTTCCCCACAAAGACGTTTTGGGATGCATTGGGAAGGGTGTTCCTTCCACTGTTTTCTTATCGAAGTCTCTAGTGTTGTTGTAGAAGAGGTAATGTATAGAAAGGCTATGGTGTGCCAGTGTGCCATTTGCAGTTGACTTGCAACACAGAAAAAAATGTCCAAAATGCCTTAGTAGACAGTTTGTTTTAATGTTCTCCAAAGGAAGCCAGATTCTGATCTTTTCCCCCCACTGACCCTTACATGCATATGTCACTGTTAGCAGAATTAGTCTTTTCACAGCAGAACATTCAGCCTTCATTTGCTACACATTGCTTCTGCAGCAGTAAGCAATATGCTTTACTTTTAGGTAAGGATTTCACTCGCAAGATCTGACTCTCTAATTTCACAAGAACTTTGTTTCTGAACTTCATTTGTTCACTTCTATTACAGAACCAAATGTGAAGGCCTTACCCTGTCTCATCATTTTGCTTTTTCAGAATCTGAAATGGGACTGTGGAGTAATTCCCTGCTCCCACAACAAATGAGTAGTGAACAATGGCAGTGCAGCACTTGCTGGGATTCCTTAATGAGGCTGCGAGAAAATGACTGAGTTTATTAAAGCACCAAAAAGAATCTGAAATTCACAGCAGGGTATTCTAAACTGAAGGATTCAATGGCACAGTATTCTAAACTGAAGAACCTGCAATGGTTCTGCCAAAGGAAAATGCAAGCAATTGGTAAACAGTGGGATAAGAGCTGGTTAAGTCCCTTCAGTTCTGCTTTCATGTAATTGTGAAAGCTCTTCTGAACCATGACATGAGAAAGAGCTTTAGCGAAGCTGGAAATGTGAGATGTCAAGAGAAAAGAGCCCACAGCACCTCCCATGAGCTCTCAAGCCAGCTCTATGTACACTTTGGGACTCAGGGAAAAAAAAATATCCTAGTATTCCATTTGTTTCACTGCCTTTTTAAATATAGGACAAGAAAGTTCATGCCATGTTCACAGAATTAAAGTGCAAGAATTTTACGAATTCCATATCCCAATTTCAAGTGAATGGGTACCAATGAAATAAAGGTGGCTGTAGAGGCGAGCCCTGCATCCCTTCTTTCAGCATTTGCTTCAATGCCAGGCAAATACAGCTGAGCATTACATCACTGTAATGCCTGAAGTAGTAAGGGGCGAGGTCTGAGCTCCCCCCATCTGCCAGGCAGACAGAGGAGGAAGCAGACTGCATGAAGCCAGCAGAGCCTTAGCTAGCACTCAGCACGTCACAGCTTTGGTTTCTGTCCAGTTTTGAAGACGAGACTGAGTTTAATTTCTTATCTGCAGTATTTGTCAATATTTTCCCATCTGAAATCCCAGAGAGATTTTTAATTCTCTTACTGTAAACTTCTGAAAATGTCATCCCTTTCACTGCGTGTTTACATTTTTCCATCTCTCCCAAACCTTGAAGTCACATTAAGGCATAAGTTTTCACCGAAGTCATATAAAAGGCCTGAGGGAAAGGAGCACTTTTAAGTGCTGTCTGCTTCTGAATTAGGAAAGGGCTGTTTTTCCTCAGTTAAACCACCACCTGCAGTATTTGTGAGTTACATATGTGTTTCTTCTATGTCCTGCTGTAACCACTTCCTAAAGGAAGGTAAACTTAAGTGTTATGGCCTATAAGCAATCCTGAGTGCCCCCTGTTCCATCCACTGGATGTGCAGAGAGTGCAGGGTCATGGAAACATGCTGACGATCTGCAACTAAGAGAAATGGGGTTATATTTGCCTGATCTAATCTAAAATGACTCCTAGTGTTCAATACCGTGTTGCGACACCTTCTGTACAATCATTTTGTAAAAACATTTTTCATGCTACAGCGTTCAAACCCATTCAGCTAAGAGAGAAAAACCAGGTGATGGTGTGGGAAAGGGAGAAGGCCTGACCCTGAGGACGTGGCTTTCCTAGCACCAGAGCTCCTGCCTGGGCTCAGCAGAATTCTCCAACTATCATTTCCCCAAAAGATCTGACACTTTTGAGTAAACAAATGTAGGGAGCGTATTCTGCATCTGTCTTAGAATCATGGAATCATAGAGTCACCAAGGGTGGAAAAGATCTAAGATCACCCATTCCAACCATCCACCTACCACCACTAAACCATGTCCCTCAGTACAGCATCTGCACATTTCTTGAACACCTCCAGAGTCGGTGACTCCACCACTGCCTGGGCAGCCCATTCCAGACCTGACCACTCTCCCAGAGAAGTATTTCCTAGCATCCAACCTGACCCTCACCCGGCACATGAGGCCATTCCCTCTCTTGCTCATTACACAGGAGCAGAGAGTTACAGTCTCAGAACAGCTGAGAACTATTTTTTCTAATCCACTCACTTTTGTACAATGAAGTAGTGACAGCCTACAATACTGCTGTTAAGTGCTCTAAATACACGAGGCACCATATATCATTGGAACTCGTCTCCCTTATAAAATGCCGTAGTTGTTCTGCTAGAGCTAGTGTAAGGCTCCAAAAATGCAAGTGTTAAGACGAGCATAAAGAGCTGCGCAGCTGTTGCAAAGTACTTAAAACGTGACTGGGCCATTTCCTTTCCAAGGGAGCTGTGGGACAGAAGGCTCACCGAGTCATAGAATGGCTCGAGCCAGAAGGGATCTCAAGGATGATGGCGAGGCCTCGTGGCAGCCATGTCTGCCTGACAGCTCTGAATCAAAGGAAGTGCTTTTGGTAGTCTGCGTACATTTGCACAATCTGGGATTCACAAAACATTTTAAAAAACACAAGTATGTCAGGGCTACATGTAAACTGGGAGTTCCTTTTACACTAGGCAGCTAGCCCTTTCACTGCCCATTGCTTTGGGAAAACGCATCACAAAGTGTCTGTCCCCACATCTTGGCATCAGTATGAGAGGGAGGAGGAGGAGGAAGCAGCACCAAGGCAGTGAGGGCAGGCCTTGGCAGCAGCACTGTGGCACAGGGAGACTGACGAGGGAGGTGGCTGGTTTGCTTTGGGTTGCTAACAACAGGCACTTTGCCGCCCTCACACCTGTAAGCAGTCCTTGCAAAAGACCTCGTCCTTTACCCACAGGGAATTGCTGCTGAAGCACCTGCTGCTGGTTTGAATACAACTTGCAGTCAAACCTGCAGTATTCCTTCCATGTAAACATCTTGTTACAAAAAATAAACACGTACTGCCATCCTATCCCTAAAGCCTAGAGCAGTAAGAAGCCTAAGTGCACATCAAACAGCTTTGGATTCAAATGAAATAAATAGCTAAATTACAAGCAGGTGAGATCTCGGCCTTTGCTGCCGCTGGTTCCTTCCCAGCAGAGGGGACGGCAGGCCGTGCCCTCACACCTTCGCGCCGTCGTGTTTCGGCGGTTCTGCCGACTGTGTTTCCAGTACCGAGTATTTCACTGGGGAAGAAAATAAAGGCCATTAGTACGACAGCACACAACTGTACATGACTGCAAGCAGCAGGTGCCAAACACCGCTCGGCTGTTCCCAATCTCAGCCTTTACAGCAGCCTCCCTTCTCTGCAGCTGAAGGAAGAAGCACACTTCTGGTGCGAGGCACTTCGTGGCTGAAAACATCAGAGCTCAACATCAACTGCCACCATTCGCAGAATGGGAGCCTTGGTGTCTCATCGTGGCTTCCCTTTGTGTGTGATAAAGCAGGAAAAGCATCACAGTGGCTGTTACACAAAAAGCTGCAGCACAACCCGAGCAGTGCCGACCCAGAGCACTGGAATGGCTCCCAGAGCTCCCCATGGCCTCGGTGGCCAGGCCTCACCTTGGGGCTCCTCGCTTACGACAGCTTCCATGTTCTCCCCTTTCACGTATTCCGCATTAAGTCCCTCTGAGAAGCAACAATAAAGAGAGTGAGATGGGAGGTTAGAAAGCAGAAATTGTTTGCTTTGATGCCTTAAAACCTGTGCTAACGGGCCTATCTTCTTAGAAAGCTGACTACAATTTTGCAAACTCCTCCACATTAACCGCAGCACAGAAACATTGGTAAAGCATGACTGGTGCTGAGAAAGCTGTGCTGCGTTCTCAAGCCACCACAAAGGTTGGCTCAGATGGGTGAGCTCCAGCCCAACTCTCCTGCATCAGCCCCAGGAAGGAGAGCACGGCCGTGGGGCAAGGACACACACTGGGCCCACTGCTGTCCCCAGGCACGCATTCTGCTGGGATAACACCCAGTGCCATTGTGCTTCTTCAGAGAAAAGCCATTTCCACAGAGGCTGACGGCTTGCAGATTGCTGTCATGCGTTGCAAAGAATCTAAGGCCTGACATTAGCCCAGCATGCCGTGTCTGATGGCTTAAATTAATCCTCCTTTATAATTAACTTTAATTTCCTGCTGCCTTTCTGGGACTTTGTGTGTCTCAGCTTTCCACTCATCAAAGCCTTTACTCTCTTTTTTTAAAATTATTTATTCTTACCAAAATATCATTTAAGTGGAGGGAATATACAAGGGAGTTTCATTCCATCACATTCATTTGACTCTCCCCGCTGATCTAATTTACCAAAACGCTCCTGTTTGTTGAGACACAACTGGGAAAATAACACGATTCCCACCCAAATTTCCAGCCCCCAGACACCCTTCCCCAGAGCACATGAGGTTCTCACGAGAATTCAAGGGATTTCTTTGAAGAGAGGCTTTCCCAGCTGCCTGCACCCACCTGTAACCACACCAGGACTATGTGCCCCTGTAAGCCCCCATGGTGCTGTGCAGGGCCCTCCCCACTGACCCCTTCCCAAGGCCAGGTGCAAAGAAAGCGTGTGGTGAGAGGGAATGAAACAGCTGTTACCTCGCCCAGGCTCTCAGGGGACACTTGTGTTGCGGGCTGGCCAAGAGCAGAAGAGCAGGTGCTGATCACCACCACAGCACTGCGACTGCAGCAATATCACACCCACCAACACTCCTTGTGTTGCCTCAACCGATTATCAACTGGAAAGCCAAGCATAATTCCTTCACCCTTCCCCAGTCCCATATGGCCAGAGCAAAGTCTGATGGAGACTGGAGGCTGACAGCAGACTGTTGTGGCCTGAAAGCTGCTGCTGAGTTCTAGCTGCCATGCGGGCATGCTAGAACTTCAGTATGAACTGGAATCAAGGGCAGCCATGTGGGATGCCACAACCAACACTGCCAACGCGCTTTTCTCAGTCCTTTGGCAGACAATGCAAGGTTTGCTTTCACTTGGAGGGCTGTCCCCACACACCAAGTCCCACTCTGCAATCCTCCACCCCGCAGCCCTCCCACCCCCACCCGGGGCTGCTTACGCTGGATGCTGAAGCAAAACTTCTTCTGCTGGTAGGAGATGTAGCTGGAGACGGCCCCCACAAGTGCCATGGCCAGGGCACTGGCAATGCCGGCGATGGTGCCCGTTTCCACCCGGTTGTCTGCAGGGCACAGAAAGGCGCTGAGCGGTGGGGAGGTACCCAGGCCCCGCTCCCCCCGCAGCCCCCACGGCCCTACCTTGGCTGTCGGTGTTGCCTCCAGATCCTGAAAGAGAAAAGACCCATCAGCAGCCCGGCCCTCACACAACCCCACACCCCGCACTGGCACAGAGACGCCCCTCATTGCAGTGTGCATCCTTGTGCCATCAGAGGGGACGGCTGCCTGAGCTGCGAGCTGGCACACCTGTACATGACATGGGGGTGTCTATATGTGATGCTGGGACAACTGTGCACAGCTCGAGTTGGGAGAAATGGCTCCTGCTGGAAGCTGCAGCTCTGAGCGAGCTGCTTAAATCCCGCATTACAGAAGCAGGTCAGCACTGTATTAATGCTTCAGTGCAGTTTGTCCTTGGCACGGTGATTCATTAAATGTCGACAGGGCTGGTGGTGTTCGCCATTTCTAACTCAACTGCCTTTAATATTTAATACCACGGCTCTCTGTGCAGGCTGAGCCAAGCACAGCTTGTTCCCTGTTCCTGAAACCAGCAGTCACATCCTGAGAGGAGGGCCAGTGTCCATGAGGAGCAGGGTGACAGCCCCGAGGTCAGCACAGCAGGGGGTGGGGGCCAAGAAGTGCCATTCCAGCCCCACGGCCATACTCCATCTGCCAGGTGCTGAGGGACAACCTGGCATCTCCTGGTGGCTGTAGCGTGGGCTGGCTGGCCCAGGGCCACCAGTGCCAACCACTGCTACCGGGACAGCAAGTGCCCCTGCCAATCTCCTCAGACCCATTGTGGGGTCTCCCTGCCATGGAGAGATGTTTTATGGTGTCCCTGCGGTGTGGCCATCTCTGCCCCATGCTGGGGGCACCAACCCTCCCGCAGGTCATCCCTACCTTTCTTCTTGTCAGGGCTGTAGCCATCATCCACAATGCCTTCCAGGTCACTGTCCGAAAATCCTAGAAAAATAACAACAAACTGATTGGAGAGCAAAGAGAAATCATCCCATTCTGCTGCCCTCCAAGGGGTGAGTGCTGCAGCCACCCAGAAAGCAACAAGCGGAATGGGAAGGGAAAGAGTGCAGGTGTGCTCAGGGTGCAAGGGGCCAGAGAGCCAGGTGCCAGCTGGCCTGGTGTCTGTCCCTGTCACAGCATCTATGGGTGCTTCCAGGGAGCATGGGGGACTGGGAATGGGGCTGTGGGAGTTCTGATCCCTCCCAAGCACCATGTGCCTGGCAGATACTGCCCACAGCTGCCAGCAGTACTGCCCACAGGAAGGCTGAGGCTGCTGTGTTCCCCTCAGTGTCCCCTACAAACCCTCTGGACGTTCTGAGGGGCTCTGCTGGGCATTCTGTGCAGCAGGAAGCAGCAGGGAGCACATTCCCACCAGCGGCTCCAGCTGCTCCATGAGCAAGAACAGGTCAGAGTCAATGGGCAGATCCCCTCCCTCACAATGACAGAGTTAGCAGAATCTTCAACCCCAAATTACTTTCTTTTAAGCTCATAAAAGAGCTAATAACTGACTTTACATCTTGCCTGAAAGAAAAGAGAATCATGGAGTGGGAGCTGGCAGTGGCATTAATGGAGCCATTGCACTTTTGCCCTTCCAGCCTGGGAGACACTCACCAGCTCACCAAAAAAAAAAAAAAGTGGTTTATGGGTTTAGTAATGAGTGTAAACTTGAAAGAAACAAAACAAAAACAAGAACAGAACCTGCAGAGATGAAACCCTCTGCGATGCTGGGGCAGCACGTGGCCATGTGCCACAGAGCCAGCTGGCCATGGTGCTGCATTCCAGCACCCAACACCTCCTGCCTTCCAGCCAGAGCGTAGACCCCAAAAGTGCAGACAAGTCACCTAGTTAGTACAGCCTAATAAAGTACCTGGCTATTAATTACACGTGTGAGGAGGGCATACGGCCATCTCGACATCCATAAACTAGCCGTGCAAAGTCTGTTTTCTAGCGGCGGTGCTCAAGGGAGCAATCCTTGCAGACAAATGACGCATTCACCGGAGCATTTCAGTCTCTGGCCCTCAGCATGTGCTGTGCCAGGACTGAGCCTGCCCTGGATTTACATCTTGGCTATGACTGCAAACCCCAACAGCACTCAGTTAAACAGCCGTTGGGCACGGGGACGAGGGGAAGGCAATAGAACCCCCACAGCCCCGGACAAGGCATGACCTGCTTCTGCTCACCCCCAGCTTCTGGCAGCGATCCACCTTTCATGGAGGGGGTGCCCCGCAGTGAGCCTTCAGTGCTGGGAGCTCCCACAGGGCCCAGAAACACATGGCGGTGAGAGCAGCAGGGAGAGGGAAACCCACGTACCTTCCTCCGGCCTCACCGCCGGCTGCCTGCCATCCCTCACATCGTCCCCATCTCCAAGGGCATCAGCCAAGTCCAGATCCAAAGGATTCTTCCCTGTAAAACAAGATGGGTTAACAGCACTAGCAACCTCCTTGATGCTGACAAGGAATCAGTCCAGGAAACGCTGCTGTCCAGTGCTGCTGCTGCGGCAGATGCAGGAATCACCCTGTGTTGTGGCTCGAGTGCTTGACAACAGACTGATCAGATGGGAGAGCAGGCAGCAGGACGGGCCCACTGGCAGTCAGGCTGTCCCGCAGTGCCCCTGCCTGCTGGTGTCTGTCTCTGCAGAATGCAGCTGGCACCCTCAGGAGTGCAGTAGCTCAGGAGTTCAGCTCAAACAGAACAGCTTCAGACTGCTTTTGCTAAATGTCAGCTAAAAATGCGGAACGGAGCCAGTCTGACCATCTCGACCCACTTGCTATCTCATAAATAAGTTTAATCTCATCTGAAACTGATGCTGAGCCTGGAAGCACCTTTTTGAGAAAGCTCAGCCCCACGGGCAGTGAAGCAGCCCATGACCACAGGTATGTCTGTGCTCCTGCGTGGCACAGTTACACTGGGACCTGCTGCAGCTCTCACCTGAACAAAGCGGGGCTGGACACAGCATGGCTGGGCAGCTGCACTCACCTGGGTTCGGTTTGCGGGGGGTCTGCGTTGTTTTTGGCCGCTTGGTGGTGGTGCGGATGACATCCCAAAAGCCACTGTCTGAAAGTGCCACGAAGGGGAGAGAACAAAATGCTGTTACCTTCCCAAAGGTGCACCCAACAAGGCCCCGGCTGTACGCAGCCCCAGCTCCCACAGAGCAGCAATGGGCAGGGCGACGCACCTGGCTTCCCCGGCCGTGGGAAGGGCCTGGCAGTGGGCCTGGCTGGCTTGGTGGTGGGCTCCACGGGGCTGTCGAAGTAATCAGCTAGGTCAAAGTCTGTAGAGAGAGCAGACGGGTGAGCCACAGTGCTGGGGCTCTGTGTGAGCAGCCCCTGGCACATGGCACTGCTCAGCGTGTGAGCAGAGACACGCGGCCAGGGCTGGGCATGAGCATCCTCCAGTGGGGCTGGCGCTGGGATCTGGGCAGCCAGGGCCCTGACCCACACCATCGGAGGTGGTCTTCCCTGGATGGGAAAATGCCTGGCACTGTTCGGTGAAAGCTGGGGATATCCTGGAGCAAAAGCTCCTCCCCAGGATCAAAGCCAGCCGATGCTGCACAGGCAGAAATGATGGCCTCCGTGCAGCTCGGCCGTGACCTGTGTCAAATCCATTACAATACTGCAAAGTGTGCAGAACTCAGCCGTGGCCATAAATGCTCTCATGTTGGCTGCCTTCAGAACAGACAGAAACATCAATAGTGCATTTACTTAGGCACAGGTGTGCAGCACTGCCAATGGAGAGAGGAGATACAAAGGACACAGTGGCTGCGCGGTGATGGTGGAAAAGGCACCATCAAGCAGTGCAGGCAGGAGAAGCTCAGGCAGCACAAGCAGCCACTGCAGCACAGCCTATTGCCAACCAAGAGGTGGTTCACTGCCAACCAAGGTTTTGGAACCCAAGCTGCTGCTGCCAGCACACAGCTGAAATAACACACGCCAAGAACGTCTCACCTCTCCCTCCTGTCCCACCAGCCGGCTTACTGGGTCTCTTAGGTGTGGCTGTGATAGAAAGGAGAGGAACGTGTTAGCCATGGGCATCACCAGAAACACTACCTGTGCCCCGAGAACACAAGGCTAGGACTTGGTGGCAACAGCATCACAGCTGGAGCTCCGTGCCCTGCGTTTGTGCCTGTGACACTCACAGCTGCAACTGCATGCACACAGTGAGAGCCCCACGCAGGTCCAGCCCAGAGCTCGGCTGGGGCTGACACCAAGCAGAGAAGTCCTCCAGGGGACAACTCCAGGAGACAGAGCAGAGAGGAAGCAGCAGCAAGCTGCTGATGCTTGGCTATCCCCTGCCACCAGCCACTGCACTGACAGCAGCTCCCAGCACTGCGCCACACACCGGAGCTCCCCATCTGCTGGAGCAGTTCTGCAGACAGCCCAGTGCTCAGGGCCAGACTGCTCCCAGGGCAAAACAAGCTGCCATCGGCTTCAGGGGGTGGTTTTATTTATTTTGTTGTAATTTTTATTTTCCCTGCAAACCACTATCCATTAACAGTGGTTAGCTTTACGAAGTATATGAATAAATTATGAGCAAGAGTTGTGGCCGTGCCATTCCTATTAATTTCCATCTGAATGCTGGAATGCTTCTGCTGCACCCAGGTGCTGCTATGCCCCTGTAATCTGCACCCTGGGACGGAGCAGCAGGCACGGGGCTCACAGGTGGCTCCTGTGGGCACAGGCAGCCCTGCCACAGGGACTGGGGCCAGACTGCATCCTCTGCCACCTCGCCGAGGGATCCCAGTGGGCAAGTTGCACCTATTACTTCTTATTTTTCTCCTCATTTTGTAAGGAGCGAATGAATTTCACTTACGCCGTATGGGGCCGAGGGCATCTTCTAGGCTGAATTCCCCTGGGTCGTCCCCACAGCCTGCGGACGAAGCAGCAGCACAGGAGTTACTCACTCCACACGATGTCAGTCACCTCCACACACAGCCTGGCCAGGTGCCTGCGCTCAAATTGCTTTGGTTTTAGAGGGCTTTTTGCTAAACGTGACCCATCACCAGCGACGAGGAAGACATCAGCCTTCCCCAAACCCTGTGACTGTTAAATTGCAGAGCAGTCAGCTTCGGATTTTCCATTTGTCTGCCCTAATGGATGCGGTACAAAAACACACGCCACGCTTAAACTTGTCAAGCGGCGCCCACCAATTCATCTCTCCGGCTGCCACTCACCCACAGCTGCAGCTGTACGTTTGCTAAGCATCGTGCAGACTTCGGAGCAGAGCACAGCAGACAAACTCGGCGGAAGGGCAGAGCTCGCAGGGGCTGTGCCAGGGCAGCGCCAACGATGCGGGAACGCTGCTGCCGGCGACGGCCCACGAGAGGGGCGCGCAGCCCCGCCTGCGCCCCAGCCCCGCGCTGGGGTCCTGCCCTGCCCTGCCGCTCCTCCTCTTCCTGCGCCGCGTTAATTACTGTTGACTTACCCTCGTTCTGAATGTATTTGTCTTGATAAATTCATGCTTTTACATCTCGGAGCATGCTGAGTAATTAATATCCTTTGGGTTCGCTAAGCGCTGCGGCGCTGCAAGAGAACATTAAAATGGCTTTCCTCTCATTCCTATCGCTAAATGGATTTAGCTGCTGCCACCTGAGCTCCGGCGCGCTTCATGAATAAATTTACGGCCCTCCTGACAAGGACAATGGCAGCCGCGAGGCAGCGCCCACCAGAAGGCTGCCAGCCACGATTCGGCGGAAAACTTTCATGGAAAGCGGTGCCCGAGGCCGCCCTGCCTGCGTGCGGCCCGGCAGCTCCAGGAGCCGCGCCACTGCTCCAGCAAACCCCAGGCAGCAGCAGGGCAGGGCCTGCCCCCCTAGGAGGGTCCCCGTGCTGCCGTGAGCCTCCCCGGGGGGCACGGCGAACCTGGAGCAGCGCAGCCCCAGCCCCGTGCGTGGGCTCCGCGTCACCGTCAGACCCGCCCGGGCGTCCCGCGGCTGCTGGCTGACAGGGAAAGCAGGCGCAGGACCCGTTTGCAGTACTTTCCTTCCATGTGGCGACCCAGAGCATCAGCTCCCAAAGGGCAGCGCCGCCGGGCCGGGCACTGCGGAGTCCCGAGCTGGGCCGGGTGCTTCCATCGCAGCCGGCTGCAGGCTGGGGCAGAGGGCATCGCACCGCCGCGCGTCCTCCCCTCATTGTTTCCTGCGGCAGGCAGCTCAAGCGCACGGCTGTGCTCGTCAGCCTTTTCGTTCATACGATTACATATGATCTAATTAAGCCTCGCTGTCTGGCAGAGCTCAGCGCACAGCACCATAACTCACGGCAGTGCACCGTCTGCACCGCAAGCAGCGCGCTGCGTTCCGCCCCACTGCCAGCTCAGCACCACCCCCTGCAGCACCGCCCTGTGCTGGGAGCCACGGAGGGCTGAGGGGAGATGCGCCCCGCCGCCCCGCTGCTGCCGCGGCCGAGCTCTCCGCACCCAGGGAAACATTCTGCTTTCCAGAAGTACTAATCAGAATCGCTACTGATTGTGGCAAAAACAACCTCTGCTGTATTTTTTTTTTTTCATGCAATTAACAAGAGTATGGTAATTCCAAGCAATCTTGCTCTTGAGATTAAAGGAAAGCCTGACAGGAAGCACATGAATAAAGCTTTAAGATGAGAATTTGCATAATGAAGACTTTCTCTTCGCAGAGAGGCTGATAGAGGCCGTGTTCCACACCTGCCAGCAGCAGCACCAGCAGCACCAGCACCCACAGGGGCAGCGGGACCTGCAGACCCCGTGGGAGCTGCAGCACCCAGCCCACACTCAAGGTCAGACAGCGCCGGGGCTCCCTGCCATCACCGCACTGTGAGTGGGCAGCAAGCTGTCCGTGCAGATTCAGGCTCATCGCCCCGAAGCCAGCGGTGTGGGGCTCCTGACACGTGCTGTGCTTTGCCCATTCCCAAACCTGCCTCCCGGGGCAGGGGCAGCAGGATCCATCAGTCTGATGGGAATCCACCCCAGCACCTGCAGGATGCGCGGACCCAGCTCAGGCATTTGCCATTTCTAGTGATGCTCAGGAAACACAGAGAGTTCCTCTTCCGCTGCACACAGGGCACAAACCACAGGGCTGCCCACACATTCCCCTGGCACAGTGGATCACCACAGGCTGTGCTCAGTGCTCAGATCTGATTTCTGCTTACACACACAGCAACGACTCCAGGTTTGCCCCAGGGCAGAGGTGCCTGCTCACCAACCAGATGACAAATTGTGGCATCAGAGTTGTTCATTCTTAGTCTGACACAGAACAAGGGATGGCAAAGCCAGGGATGCAGGAGCCCGAATAAAACTGCAGCAGGGGATTAAACACCACCTGATTCCCTGTTGGGAGACTGCTCTCATCAGATAGAGACCAGGAGGAGATGCTGCAGTTAAAGTAGGTAAACAGGGAATTATGTGGTGAACAGGCCAGTTCCTCACATGGGACTGCTCCTGCCTTGTTGTGCCAGGGGAAATGCAGTGCTACTGGAAATTGATTTGGATGATGCTGGCAGATGTGGCACAGAGAGAGGGGCACAGCCTTTAGAATCACGGAATCACAGAATCACCAAGGTCAGAAAAGACCTACAAGATCATCCAGTCCAACTGTCCATCTACCACCAATATTTCCCACTAAACCACGTCCCTCGGTACAGCATCTAAATGGTTCTTGAACACCTGGGGACGGTGCCTCCACCACTCCCTTGGCAGCCATTCCAGTGCCTGACCACACTCTTAGAGAACATTTCCCTGAAGTTCAACCTGGCACAACGTGAGGCCATTCCCACTCATCCTATCACTGTTACCGGGAGCAAAGGCCAACCCCCATCTCACCACACTCTCCTTTTAGGAAGCTGTAGAGAGCAATGAGCCTCCTGAGCCTTCTCTTGCACCTGTGAGACATGTCCCTGCCTCAGTGCCAGGGACAGGGCAGGGGTTATTCCAGTTTCCATCTCTCTCGCTGCCTCCTGCCCCCTAATTCCATCTGCCTCCCTCCACGGCATCGCCACTGTCCTGCTGCTGCTCTGTCCCTCTGTCTTCCATGGTTTTAAGGGACAGAATACAGTTGTGAATCCTGACATGAACTACTTCTCTAGATGAGGAAGTGTGAAGGACCTGGTTTAGTCACCTGCTGCCACAGAAGCACACTGGGTAACCAGAGCGGTTTGCTATTCATGTGCAGGAAATGACTGAGATGTATACAAACGGGCTCACAGAAGTGTGCCACTGAGCCTCTCTCCTCTCTCAGCCTGAACTGTGGAAACAAAGAGCAAAACCGAGGCCCGGTTTCCCCGAGCTAACCACAACACTGGTGTCTCAAACCTCCAGGGGATATTTTTCTAAGAAGAAACAAACTGGTCTTTAATCAGAGCACAGCTGACAGTTCCTTCAGCTCAGCGCTGCTGCCCAATGGGGCAACAGATGCCAGGAAAAAAAAAATGACAGTTTTGTACAGGGAAACTAACCAAAAGTTAGATGGCCACTTCTGAGCACGCTGTCACTGGGCTCGGAGAAGAAAAGCTCTAAAACACAGGCAGGGGTACAGAAATCAGCTGTGTCCAAAGCTCCGCTCACAAATATCTGGGCACAGCACATTTAATTAACACAGATTTGTTCCAAGATCAGAGATAACTTGTAACAAAAGCTTCTCCCACTTTGTCAAAGACACCATCAAAGTAAAAATGATTCCTTAAACGCAATGCTACCGATATCTACCGATCATAAATTTAGTAACGTAACCATTTCTTATAACCAATGCTGTTTGCAAATGTAAACGCTTTGCACGACAGCGGAGCCACGCTGCTCCCACCCTGACCATCCCCACAGCTGGGTGCAATGCTTCAGCCATGATCACCAGCTCTGGGGCTGTGAGGGGGCACTGAAGGCTGTGTGAGATGCAGGGTGGGATGCAGAACACCGCCCGCCTTGCTGCAGCTCCACAGATGTGCCAAGCCACCGCTCGCCTGTAATCACAGAGATCCTCTCCAGGTTTTTCTTATCTGTGCATGTCCCTTCTGACGGGTCTGCCAGGGGTAACCTCATGCTCCCCATGGATGCAGTGACCCCAGCAATCAGATGTGCCACCTTTCCATCACAGCACATCAGCGCTATCTGTGCGGGCTTATGGAGAGAAGGAGACTTAGAAGAGGCCCAGCAGTGCAGGCAGCCCCTGTGCAGCTGCGTTCTGCATCACACAGACAAGCACTGGGCCAACCCTGGACAGCTCAAGCCTCCCGGCTTTCTGGAAAAGCTGCGGATCTCTGCACTACAAGCATCGCGCCAGCAGAGCCCTGGCTCAGGTAAAGCTCTGCAGAGCAGAACCCGTCCAGCTGCTTTCAGCCCACAGGACGGCTCCGTCCGCGCCCCGCAGCCGGGCGCTGGGATTCCGGCGCTGCCTCTGCCTCCCGTCCGGCTCCCGGAACGGCGGGAGCCGAGTTAGCGTGAAGCCGCAGGGCCGGGCCGGAGCCCCGCAGGACGGTTCTGCCCCGAGCACCGCCGCCCTCGTCCCCCGCGCGGCCGCTGCCAGTCCCAGGCGGGGGTCGGGGCGGCGGAGCACCCGGCAGCCGTGCGCGCAGCTTTGTCCCCGCGGAGCCGGGCGCTGACGGCGACTGGGGAACCTCGCGGCGGGGACCGTGCTAATGCACAACGGCCCGGAAACGTTTAGCAGCCGGACCTGCAGCCTAGCACCCGAGGATGGCACAGAGGGGCATTTTCCTTCGGCCGGGCCGCAGGCAGCGCGGAACGCCGACAGCCTCGCTGCTGACTAATCTCGGGTTTGCCACTTTAACCTCAAGATGGGACGCGAGGCCCAGCCCCGCAGCGCTGTGTCACACCGACACCGGCACCGAGCGCTGCGCTACGGCGCACGGGCAGCGCGGCGAGCAGACGGCCGGCGGGGCGGCACTGCCAGGTCCCTGCCGGCTGCAACCCGCGTCCCGCAGCACGTCGGGGCGGGCGGAGCGCAGGGCCCCATCTTCTGCGGCCTCGCACATCGCCGCCGGCTGTCTTATCGGCACAGCCTTTAAAAATGTGGGGGAAAAAAATCCTTTTAGAATAACTTATTTCAGGAAAAAGGAAGCGGGAGTTGCGGTAAGCTCTGCATCGATATCTATTCCAAAAAACAGGACGCGGATCCCCCAGCGCAGATCGCGCTGCCGGCGGCACCACCCCGGCTCCCCGCAGCCCCGCAGGCTGCCGCGTAGCCTCCGGCTCCGGCTTCCTCGCGCCCCACCGGGCCCCGGCAGCGGGAAGGCGGGCGTCCGGCCCCGGTTCCAGCCCGGGCCCGCGCGGCCACGGCTCCCAGGCCGGAAGCGGCCGCCACCGCGCTCCGACCGCGCCGCGGAGCCCCGCGCCGCCCCCTCCCGCCGCGCCCTACCTGCGCCCAGCAGCGCGGCGGCGGCGAGCAGCCCCAGCAGGCGGCGGGCGGCCATGGCTCGGGGCGCTGCGCGTCTGCCGCGGGGCGCAGCCGCTGCCTCCGCCGGGCGGGGCGGGGCGGGGCGGAGCCGATCCCGGCCGCTGGCGTGGAGCCGGGACTGCCGCGGGGCACGGCCGGGCGCGGGCGGCGCGGGGCGCTGCGCGCTGCCTGGCGCGGGGCTGCGCCGTTCGGAGCCGGGCCGGGAGCTCGGCAGCGGCTGCCGCGGCTCGCGGCCCCGAGATCCGGAGCTCGCACCGCCGCGAGGACATTGCAGCGCGAGCGTCGCGTGTCGTTGGCTCGCCGCGTTCGTTCCTCCGACCTCGGGCAGGCCGCGGGCCCTTGCTTCCTTCCGAACTGGCTGGGATCCTTGCGAGGGCGCTGGCGGCGAGCAGGGGACCCGCAGGGGGACGGTACTCCGTCCCACCGTGCCTTAACGGGCGCTGCCCAGCTCTCCGTGCTGCCTCGGAAGTCCCGTCATCTCAACGTGCTTTGGTTTCCGAGCAAAAATATGTTTAAAGCGAAGGGGAAATGCTCAGCAGGGAAAATAACTTCTGGGGCAAGCAGAAATCTGATTCAGAGTCTGTTCCTTGCAAAATGTACACAAATAACGTAGGAGGTGTGAAATGTGCATCCTGTTAGATGCGGGAGCCCCACACAGGCCCCAGTCAGTCGCCCTTGGTAAGTGATGGACACATAACAAGCACCAATTTCACTGTTGCTGTTTTAAAAGCAGAACGAGCTGTCATGTAGCAATGCACAGCCCTGCTGCATGGTTAGCAGTAATGGAAAGTGAAAATACCGTACACAATTTTACACGAGCAATTTCACAGCCAGAATCGCATTTCCACCCATGTCCACCCCTCGTCTGAAACACTGTTGCTTCAGAATACTGTTTTCATGAGTGCCAGAGCCAGGCCTTTGCAGTGCTGGGTGATGGCAGCAGTAGTTGTATATGACTTACTCAGCCTTGTGGTCGACCTGAAAGAGGAGGTAGAGAGGCTGAGGACCATAAAAGAGTGTGAGAAGGAGATTGACTGGTGGTGCCAGTCCCTACGCCGCCTCATGAGACTGAATGTGTACAAGTCTATGGGGCCGGATGGCGTGCATCCCAGCGTTCTGAAGGAGCTGGCTGAGGTGGTTGCCGAGCCGCTCTCCATCATATTTGAGAAGTCGTGGCTG